TGCTTCTAGATGAGGTTTATAAAATATAAGCAGGTTCAGAATCCCAATCATGTTAACCTTTCCAACGAGAGGAAATTTATCCATCAGTTAGAACTTATTACATGTGCTCATGTTTTGAAAGTGTTGTCCAAAGCTGCAATACTCTCTGTGGAACTAAGAAGATTTTGTGAAGTCGTAGGAGAAATGTCTTGTTACACTCCATCCTCGACAAGCCAAATGGCATGTTCTGCAGTGAGAAATGAGTGATAGTTTGCAATTGGCAATGAACACTGATCTCTCAATGAGAGATCAGAGAATAGTAAAAATGTACACCAACATCAAAACTTAACTGAAATGAGCATGATCTGAAAAAGAGCCACAATATACATGTAGGATTAATCCACACAATGTTATGACAATAGAAACCTGATGAATTTTACTTATGAAGTAGCTTTTACCAGGTAGCCTAAATATTGTCAAGGTGGACAGAAATTATTGATAACAATGAGGAACTACTTTCTAAATTCTCAAGTGCTTGAGGCAACAGATTGCTGAGAGACGTGGTAGTATTTTTGTGTGGAAAATAGCCAGATACATCTGTTGTCTATCCTTCCCTACCCTTTTATGTACATATTGATTCTGGTACTGTTAGTTTTAATGTTATTCTCTTTTCAGCTTGCCGGTGCCTGCCAATACATGCTTAACGTTGAGTCCCTTCAGACCAGAAAATAAAAAAAGGGTTCACTTTCATCCCAAAGCATTGATGAAAGGTGGTTGTGTTTCAGCTGTTGGAAATACTAACAAATGGCTTACACTCAGCTGAATATAGGCTGTGGTTTAGACTGCCTACAGCTGCTTCACTCTTCTCTGAGGCAGGGAAAACCCTCCAGAGTTTTCCACTTCTCTCTATTTTAATTTATCTTTTTCTTTCCCTGCTCACTGCCACCCACTTGATTGGTCTCACAAGTTCTTTCTTCAGCCAAAGAAGACTGGGCATTGTTCACTTGAGAAGCCTTTTTAGACTATTCTGGTGAGAATCCTTAGAAGCCATTCACAAAATGGCAGAACGGTTGAGGTTAGAAGGGACCTCTGGAGGTCACCTGGTGCCAGCACCCTGCTCAAGAAAGGCCAACTAGAGACAGTTGCCCAGGACCATGACCAGAGAGCTCCAAGGATGGAGACTCCACAACCTCCCTGGACAGCCTATTCCAGTTCTCAGTCACACTCAGAGCAAAAGAAAGGGTAGCCCTTCTCTTCCATAGGAGAAGAGGAATAGATCCATAAGAGAATGCTCATAGACCCACAAGTCCACCACACAGATCTCTCTCTTAATGGCAGTCGTGTCATTTTAACATTGACAACCTGTTATGTTCGCTTACTGCTCACATAGTGATTTAGCTCAGCCAAATTTTGTTTTCCGTTTGACTACAGCTTTGTTTGTAGCAATTGAATAAATTTTTTATCTTAATGAATTAAATATAAGAGCAAGGTGTCTGAGTTCTCTTTGCTTTCTGTCAAAAGACATCCTATACATATGCTGAGTAGTTGTTCTTTTCACAGGTGCACCTGAAATACAACTCGATTACATGAATCGTGCTGATGTGTAGAATTTAATTGCATTGTTTTACTTTAATCTTCTTCAAAGAGCCAAGAGCTTTTGAGCATTATATTTGGAAATATTTGTTAAATCATTTTTCATACACTGCCACAGCATCTAAAAAACCAAATCACACCTTATCACCTTACTGTGTTTTTTGTGTAATTCAGTTCATTAAGGTTTGATGTTGATTTAATTTTGTCCACAGCAGATTTTAGCTGAGTTTGGTGATGCCTCATTAGGAGATTCATCATCAAAGTCTTAAGACTGCTCAGGGACTTTTAGTGTATGCCTCTGTTCAAGGGGGGCTTTCAGTATTTTGTATGGAAAACGCAGAAGATTTAGTGTTGCGTTTGTCCTTTGACCCAAGTTGAGATCCATTCATCAGTTACAGAAGGAGTATAAAAACCCTGAGCAGAAAAAAGTGTATTTTAGTCTCTGTGCTAAACGATAAGGAATGCACCTTAAAAGTTTCCTTTTGGCGCAATCAGCAGACTACTCCATTTCAGGTATTAAATGATGAGTTAATGTGGCATGTCTGGCAGTGTTTAAAGCCAGGTTGGATGGGGCTTGGAGCAACCTGGTCTAGTGGAAGGTGTCCCTGCCTGTGTCTGGGGGCTGGAACTGGATGAGCACTGCAGGGGGGTCTCACCAGAGCAGCATAGAGGGGAAGAATTCCCTCCCTTGACCTGCTGGTCACACTGCTGGTGATGCAGCCCAGGACATGGATGTATTTCTGGGCTGCAAGCACGCACTGCTGGGTCATGTCCTATTTTTTGGCCACAAGTCCTTCTCGGCAGCACTGCTCAATGTGTTCATCTGTCATCCTGTACTGATCCTGGGCATTGCCCTGACCTGTTTTGCAGGACCTTGTACTTGGCCTTGTTGAACTTCATGAGGTTCATGAACACATGGTTCAAGTACACATGGTTTTCAATGATGTGTGTTTCTGCATCCTGTTTACATTGTAGCCTGCGTTCAAATTCACATAAGCTGCTGAATAAAGTTCTTGTGAAGTTGTTCTCTGAAGAAGTCTTCATTGAAGCATTGCAAAATAGATTGTTACAGTGATTATTTTTGTTCATAGCATAGGCAAATATAGGACGCAGTCACTGACTGCTCACCTCTGCTGTTTGACTGGTGGTGGCTGGAAGATGAGGTGTGTGCCAGGTGCTCTCCAAGCTGCTCTACCATCCTCCCTCCTCATCTTGACAGGGGAGAGAAAACATAACAAAAAGCTTGTGGGTCAAGATAAGGACAGAGAGAGCCCACTCAACAATTACAGTCACAGGCAAAACAGACTCGACTCAAGAGGAATTAATTTACTTTATTGCCAATCAAAACAAAGTAGGGGAATGAGAAATAAAACCAATTCTTAAAACAGCTGCTGTCCCCCCCTCCCTTCGTCCCAGACTCAACTGCACTCACGGTTTTCTCTGCCTCCTAGAGAGAGGTTCTGGGGCACAGGGAATGGGGGATGTGGTCAGTTCATCACACATTCTCTGCTGCTCCTTCCTCCTCAAGGAAGGAGTCCTCGTACTCTTCCCCTGCTGCAGTGTCGAGTTTTTCCCATGGGAGACAGTCCTCCTTGCCATGCAAACCCAATACGATGTGCTAGCATTTAACATTTATTTTTTTATTTTTTCTTTAATATAGAATTCACATAGTAAAATTGTTGACCACGTCTGATTGGTGTTTCTCTACAGGGGAAATGTGGTGCCCAAATTAACTGTGTCACGGAAGACATGCATGTTGTTTTCACAAATTTGTAAAGTATTACAAGGTTTCAAAATGGAGATTTCATTTTTTAATTTATTTGGGTATCTGCTATGGGTGTGTGTGTGTACATAATGAAATTCACATGCTAATTTAGTAAGATGTGTTTGTCATTAGTCGTGTTGAAAAAAGAAATTGTAGGTGTTTCTGCTGCCTAACATGTATGGAAAAAACTTTGCAACTTACTGTTGTATAATATCTGTATTATGCTAAAACTGATGGTTGGTTTTGACTGCCCAATATAACAATATAACAATATTGTTAGGCATTTAATGGCTTACTGTTACGTTGCGTTTAAGTTACAGACATTTTTAAAGTAAGAAATAAATATTGCACTTAAATAAACACTTAGCAATTTAAAAGTCAGGGGAATATGGCATTGAAATGGCCATACATCCCTTTAAATCACAAAAGTAAAAGTGTTGCATAGTGAAGGCAACTTAATCACCTACAAAGTACAGGGATAGTATGAGTCTGAATAAACAAATAATTTCCAAATAGTAGTGAAGAGGAGACTATTTTAAACATCAGTCACAAGCCATGGTAGCCTAAATTTAAGGACAGTAATTGGCCACTTGTGAAGCATTTCTAGAATCAATTGCATCAAAGCACATTGGAAAATAAATTGTCTTCAGTTGTGGTCTTTTGCTTTGTTTTTAATGCGACACTGAACTTGATGCTGCTCACAGTATGAGTTTTCGAGCAGCACCTTAAAAAATACTGTAGTTATGTTGCAGCTACGAGTTGCAAGAAGCAGGATGGGGAGGAATCTGGGGATTTGTCAGATAAATATTTTGCCTGTGTCATAAACATACACTCTTTGCCATGGATGAGAGATTTCTGGAATGCTCCAGAGATTATTGCAGTTTGTGTAGTAGGTGGAGGTGACTTTAGGCATGTGGCAGGAGGAATTGTATGTGGACATTTTAATTTCTTATCTTGCCCCATGATTGTTGGTCAGGGTCAGATCATATGAATCTCTCCTTATGCCAAGCAACATGGGGTAGCACGAGATCACTGTAGTAATTGCTTATGAAATAATTAGCCGATAGCGCATATATACTGCACATAAATATATATATGTAGGGCTTATCCCATCTCCAGTACTATTTTGCTTTCTCTGCAATTTTCAGAATACAGATTTACATAAGTCAACACTTATTGCGCATCTTAAAGATCTTGCTTATCATAAGTGCAGGCCTTCTTGTGCCCTGAAAGAATTCTGATGGCTTCTGTTCCCTGTGATTTAGTACTGAAAGTCAGTCCAGCCATCCCTTGTTTCTGCAGATAGAGTTCAGTTGAGACCAAGGCATGAATGCAGATTGAAAATCTCCTGAATCTCACTCCCATCCCCCCAAAAAAGTCCCTTTGCAGTGCTGTTTGCAGGTTTGAACTGATGCAAGTTAAATTTACGTTGCTTTGGTTTTTCATGGAGAAGGTGTGAGAGAAGCTGCTTTCAGTCTCGTCATTCCAATATATTTATCTTTCAACAAAATTAGCAGTACATTCTTTTGAAAGCAGTATGCTGTGAATTTCAGGAGGTCCTTGTGTAAAACTAGAGAAGTTGTCAAAATGTGGTTGATATTGCCATTTAATTGTATCAGCATTAGAGAAGATTAATTATTCTTTTTTTCTTATCATCCCACAGGTCATAAATGTTGATGGAACAATGAGGAAAACCCTCCTAGAAGATAAGCTTCCACATATATTTGGGTTCACACTGCTGGGAGATTACATCTACTGGACTGACTGGCAGAGAAGAAGCATTGAAAGAGTTCACAAGATAAAGGCTAGCAGAGACATCATTATTGATCAGTTGCCAGATTTAATGGGCCTTAAAGCAACAAGTGTTACCAAAGTGTTTGGTAAGCAGGAGCAATCATAGGATGAATCTGTAATAGTTTCTAGATGGGTTTGCTTTCATTAAGGAACCGTTGATCGTTTGTATTGAGAATAACTGTGGGATTATATATTTTAATAATTTTAAAGGAAAACTGTAGCTATTGTCTCTAAAGTTGGGAAAATACAGTGTTACAAAAGAAGTATGGGCTTCTGCTTCATAGTGACATTTGACATAAGTCTTCCACAGCTTCCTACTGCACTCTTTGAATTTTTATGAGGAAAACTTTATTCCTGCCTCCAGTAATAGGAATTGTTACTTTCAGTGCTCACAGAATTGCTCAATTTTCTGATGTTCTTTTCTTCTAGTACAACATCTCAGTGATATTCTGTTAGCAGAATGGTTTTTAGTAGGTTGAGTAGTGTATGCAGAGTTAGTGGCCATTACAGCATTGCCTCAAAGTATGTGGCACTACACTATTAACTTTAACACCTAAATCATACTTAAATAGTAACAATTAAATCTCGCCGTTAGTATGGAATCAGCAGCTAGAGCTCCACGTTCTTCCACTGCATTGGCTGAAACAAGCAACCAGCGTTTTAGGTCCTCTGGCAGCAATCTGCAGGGCAGTATGTCACAGTACCCCCTGGCTTCACTAGTAACTCATGAGAGGTGTGTGTTCACCACAGATCTGTCAACTACCTGGAATATTGGAGTCTGGGCATAGCAGAGAATAGTTGCAGAAGGATCACGTGCAGTAGATTGTCAAATTACACCTTGCTAGTCCATGGATTTCCAGCCTTTCAGGAAATTTTACTTGAAGTCAAGTCCTCAAGCTGAAGTAACGGCATTAGCCTGAAATATGTATGTCCTAAAAAGGGAAAGAAACCTGGTTGAGGCTGATCTTGGAGATTTCCTTGTGGTAACAGTCTTTAAATACCCAAATCTGTGGTTGCTGCAGATGGGGTATAGCACCTATTTATCTTTTGGTCCTTATTCTGTCTTCCGCATTCCCTTCCTATCTGGTCATGGCTGTTCACAAGGGAAAATAAGTGTGAGATTGTGGTGATCTGATTGGAATTGTTTCTGCTAATGAATCTTTTCAGCTCTAAATTAAACAGCTGAGAAAGAACTGCAGTTACCCAGCTCTTTTCTCATAATTTTGTATCAGTGAACATTTGAAAAACGGATGGATTCAAAGAGATACAAAGACGGAGTATTTGGCCAAAAATAGCTAAGCTGAACATGTATGTAATTACCCTTCTTCAGTGAAGGAACTCAATCTTTGGGGAAACTAGACGGCTATGTTTGTAGCTATTATTTGTACTATAGGAGGGATAGGACCACTTTCCTAATCCTCGGGTAGGAGGAAATAAACAGTTTTGAGTGTTGGTTTGGATTGTTGGGTGCTTGGCTAATTGCTTGGAAGCATATAAATATCGTGTAATCTTGCAATAAATGATCCAGCTTGCATTCTGCTTCTGGGTCCGTGCCTTCCATCCTCACAGGTTTGGGTTTTTTTAATTCCCTGTTGACAACCCATAGTGATAACTTAGTTTGAAAAATTATAATTACATTGCATTTCCATTCAGCCTCCCCCTACCTCCACACTGCACCAGTAACTGTTTTGTTTTGTGTTTTCTTTAAGGAACTAACCCATGTGCAGAGAACAACGGAGGCTGCAGCCATCTGTGTTTCTTTACACCCCAGGAGACCAGGTGTGCCTGTCCCATTGGCCTTGAGCTGTTGAGTGACATGAAGACTTGCATCATTCCTGAAGCCTTCTTAGTTTTCACAAGCAGAGCAGCAATTCATCGGATTTCCCTTGAAACAAATAATAATGATGTTGCTATTCCTCTTACTGGAGTCAAGGAAGCATCTGCTCTGGATTTTGATGTCTCTGATAACAGAATCTATTGGACTGATGTTAGTCTGAAGGTATTACTGACATGTGAATTCCCTGAATATAAAGCCACAGAGCAGTTACTTTGATCTAACAAAGGTCTCTGTTACATGATCTGTCCTGCAGTTGCTAATGTTGTCATTGAATTGCATCCAAGGAGACTCTTGGAGCTGAAGACAGTTGCATTGTTGAATGCACAGTTGGGTGACAGGCATTTTCCTGCTTCAAAGAAAAATCCAAAGTAGTGTCTGCCCATACCGAATGCCTTGGATGCTGCATGTGCTGCATCCATATATGCATCTATTGTAGAAAAGCTGTTTTCATGTCACAGAGTAATTTAAACATCGAGCTTGACAACCACCCCAGCTTTCTATCCTTTTCCAGTGTTGACTTGAAAGGCAGTCTTACTCAATATTAACATTTGGCAAGCGAACTTTGGACTGGTTGCTGTTAGTCTGTGGCTCCAGCTTGGCACAGAAAAGGCCAGGGAACTTGTCCAGCACCCTCCGCACTGTGTTAAGCCCCGGCCTGTCCCCAGTTCTGTCTCAGTGTATTCCCCAGGAGTTTGACATTGCCTGTGACATGTTTGGTTCACATCCAGGTGCATGCTAAAATAAGTGTTGTGCTGGTCATCAGCGTTACTTTGCTTTTGAAGTGAAGTAATGGTAGAAAATGATGGATTCACTTCACTAGAACTGAATTCCTCTGTTTAGCCTTTTAATAGGTTTTCCAGAAGCAATCAAAGTTTCCTTGCCAATGTGCCTAAGCCGTAATAGGGAAAAGCTCACTTTTAGCCACTGCAGGGCATGTGGAGTTTCCATAGCCTCTCTGTGAAGACTAATGAGGGTTGTACTTTAGCGTTAACAGTGCTGGTTGTGGTGTGGATACCTTTCCTTCAGGAGCAGTGCCAATGTAATAAATTAGCATACTGCAGACACAGTTACTAAATAAATCTCCCACAAGCACATGGAGAGCTGGTCTGTGGTCACCTTAACTATTTGTAGTGGAAAACACGTTATTTCAGCTGCGTCAGTGCAAAGATCCCGGTCTCACTGTGCAGGACTGGAAAACATGTTACTTGTTTGTGGCTTCCTGAATTATCCAGCATACTCTATTTTCACACAGATGTCAGTGTATGTTTCGGCACATCTGGGTTTTCATTCCCTCTGCCCGCCCGCCTCCTGCAGCTTAGCAGCAGGTAGTGTAACTTCAGAGCCCATAGTCTTCTCCCTTTCCTTTGATGACCACCACTTCCCTGATCTCCTCCTGCCTCTGGTTGTATGAGGATCCGCTTTCAAAAACAGTTATACTTTTTTTGAGACATGGTTTATAGTTGTACAGATATACTATATGATTTCTGGTTTTGAGATTTACTTTTAAAAAAATCACAGAATCACAGACTGGTTTGGGTCGGAAAGGATCTTAAAGATCATCTAGTTCTGACCACCCCTGCCACAGGGTAAAATATAAAATGTCTCTTACCCCGACACATTCATTTATCAAATCATTAAGAAATTAATAGGGTTTGAGATTTGTTTCTGAGACTTAAAACATTACAGTGAATGAAGTAATTAAAAAGAGCCCACCAAACCTTGTATGTGTAAATAGGAGGGAGAAGAGATAAGAAAGAATCTGCAGATACATAGCGCTTTCTGAAAATCATACCCTTTTAAGATGTCCTGGACTAACCATCAGAAACCATCAGCTTTGAAAATTCACATTGTTTTATTCTGTGAACTGCTCTGTCATTTTTGGCAACAGAAAGTTATTTTAGAAAATGTAACACTGGCTGATTTTTTTTTACTGATTTATTTTTTTGTACCCTAAACTTGATAGCGATCATTCATTTTATTTCTGTGGGCTATCTGTAAACACTGTAATAGTTTTACACAATTGTTTTCCAGACCATAAGCCGAGCTTTCATGAATGGGAGCTCTGTTGAACATGTGATTGAGTTTGGGCTGGATTATCCTGAGGGAATGGCTGTAGACTGGATGGGAAAGAATCTCTACTGGGCAGATACTGGAACGAATCGTATTGAAGTAGCCCGCCTGGATGGACAGTACAGGCAGGTCCTTGTGTGGAAGGACTTGGACAACCCAAGGTCTCTGGCTCTTGATCCTACCAAAGGGTAAGGGACAGTGCTGTTTTTCAAAGCTTTGTGTGCTTATTCTTGTACATGACAAGTTAATTGGCATGTTATATAGCTCCATTTCTGTAGAGTCTTCGGAAAGATGATAAATGCTCCACAATCCTGCGGGTTACAATGAAAAATTAAGAATTGTCAATCATATTTTTCTGCCTTTATGTACTGCAATACTTAATGGGTTATTCCTATTTTTTTTAATGATTATTATTATTATTAAGAAAATAAATGTAGAAAAAGCAAAGCATGCAGCTAAACACAATCTTAGCTGATGTACTCTTTTTGTTCCACTTGTCCTTGCAGATACATGTACTGGACTGAATGGGGAGGTAAACCTAGAATTGTTCGAGCATATATGGATGGAACAAACAGCATCACTTTGGTGGACAAAGTGGGTCGTGCCAATGACCTCACTATTGATTATGCAGACCAAAGGCTATATTGGACTGACTTAGACACAAGCATGATTGAGTCATCAAATATGCTAGGTAATCTAGTGTTATATTGCACCAGCCAGTACAGTATGTGCTGGCCATAGTAAAACAGTTGAGTAATATAAAATTGGAATAGTATAATTCATATTAAACTTGTGTGTATATTTTTCTCATGAAAGGAAATGAAGTGTTGAATGTTTAAGAATATTCTTTAACTATTCCTAAATTAATAACCATATAATGATTTATAGTGATGGTGAGATAGAATGTCATTTCTGTGTGTTGATATGAAAATGCCTGTTTTACCAAAACAGAGGTGATCTCTGAGTTTCTCAGTGTGGGCAGCATATAGGTCCACTCTAAACTACCTCTGACTTTTCAGTCTGGACACTCATTTTTTGTTGAAGTATTATCTCTGTTTCCAGTTTTACACAGTTGTATTAGTTGAAAAACAAAACCAAAATACAGCTTGCATTTCCTGCAGTCTGAAGTGTTGTGCAGCTACTTCTGCAGTATATCATAACATGTTTTGTACACAACTTTACACATTTTCATATCTTCCATTGGAATTTTGTTTATACATACAAGGGGTGTGCTAAGATTTACTAAACTTTCATACAGATTTTGACATGATAACTAACTGGATAAAAGAAGGAAATTTTGTTTTCTGCAGCTGACATAGAGCTTTTGTATTGTCCGGATGTTTTGTAAATATTAAATGGCGTTCAAGGTTTTAGCTGAGGCAGATTTTTTGAGAAAAGAGAGTTTATATAAGTTTCCAAATGCCACACAATGAATCAGTGATAGGATCAGAAATGGCATCCAGAAGTTCCTGACCTGGCATCCTATCCCAGTACCATTTTCAAGGAAAGGCCTTTGTAAGATGGGAATTAATGCCTCTGAGGTTCGCATATTAAAATCAAAGTTTATTTGGCAGAACACAGTATTTAAGCAAACTCATACATGATTGTTACAGCAAATGCTCTGATTGATGATATATGTAACTTCGCTGCAACTTTTCTTTAATCTGTGAAAAGCTATCATTAGAGTGAGAATATTAGATTATTTTTAAAGGGTTTATTGTATGTGCATTATCTCCAGAGAATCTATTAAGCTCGGGAAAACAGAGAAAGTGATGCAGTTTTGGATTCCGATGCTATCGCTGATTTTGTATTTCTTGTGTTTGTTTTTTTTGGATTACTGTTGTAGTTGTATTACTGTTTAGAAGTTGCAGTAAGATTGGCTTTTATCTAGAGTTGCTTATTCTTCCATCCGGTGTCTGTGATCTGTTAAAGCTCTCACTAAGCTTCTACGCTACACTTGGAGAAACAAAATAGCCATAGGCAAGGTTAAACTAGAAACTGATTGTGGCATTGAGAAGAAACACAATATTGAAATCATCTGTGGTAAATTAAACTGGTTCTAAAGCTGAACCTACTGTTCCTGTTATTTGTGATGAGAAAGTAAAAGGATGAGCACTGAAGCTAACATTGTATGATGTCTTTTTAGTTGGCAGATTGTAAAGACTCAGGTAGACTTCTGGTAAGTAGGCTCAATCAATTAAGGAAATGTTGTTAGACTTGGCCTACATTATGCCATGCCAGTCTCCTTGCCAGGAGAGATCTGAATGAGTGTGGCTGATAGAAACATCTACCCTGCCAGCAATGAATGAAGCCCTTTTAAGTGAATGAATGAATGCTGTCCCAGCTTGATCTTGGTCATTATAAACATCACCCAGATGGAAAAAGTCACTTTCTAGGGGGAGATAGTCCTCCATCTACAGACTATCAAAATTCAGTTAGACAGCTTATCTGCTTCCTTCAAAAGAGCCTATCCCCTGAATTCAACACTGTGGACCAGAATTGCTCTGAGGAGTGCCTGAGAGTGTGCAGAATATCTGAGCACCTAACTTGGATGCTTTAGATACCTAAAAGTAATTGGGAAGGCTGCCTTTATATTTACTTTGGTGTTTTATAGGGAAATGGCTTCAAGTTCTTGTTTTGGGGGTTTTCATGCCTTCTCCAGTCTTGGCCATATGGGAGAGGGCACAACGGTAAATAGGACAGGGGAATCAAAATGAAGTGTTCTGTAGAATCTAGCATTGGATGTTTTGTGGAGAAGAAGATGCTGATGAAGGCTACATCTTCATTTAGTGTAAAGTTGCAGAGATTCATAGGGGTTTGTACTTGAAAATGTTTGGGAAGGTGATTTACAATAAGACTGTACTTAGTAGTGTATCTGTGGCAGAGGCAATCTAATGCTCTGGGAGGTGTTAAAACTGTTGTGAATGTTGCTATCTGAGCCACTGAGTGTGGGAGTATTGGGATTTCTGCCAAACAAATGGTTTTCTGATCTCTTGGTATGTTAAATTGCGCTGCAAAAGATTTGTGTTTCTAGAGTGAAACACCATAATTTCTTATACTTTTTTCTCTGTGAATCTTGAGATTGTTGTATGTTGTTGCTTTCATGCATATTAACTGGGGGTTTTATTGGCCTAAGATATTCCTGAGCTGATGGTATTCTTGAATATGTTTTCCCACATCTGTTCGGGATAATAAGCGTGAGATGTACAGGGCAGTATTTAAATGGCAACGCACTGGCACAGTTTCAGACTGCTTTATAGTCCAGACAGTATCAGGATAAGGTTTTTGAATGCAAATGTTTAGGTTACTTGTTGAGCAGATACTGGTTAATAATGAATCCCATGATGCCTACTTGGAAAATGAGGTTATATGTTAAAAAGGGAATCAAAAACATTTTCTTGATGCCAGTCACACTCTTCATTTCATGACTTGGGAATTGTCCTTTAGTTATTATCCTTATTTTTGTAGGCCAAGAGAGAGAAATCATAGCAGATGATCTACCTCATCCATTCGGATTAACCCAATACAATGACTACATCTACTGGACAGACTGGAATCTTCACAGTATAGAAAGAGCAGACAAGACCAGTGGGAAGAACCGGACACTTATTCAGGGCCATCTGGATTTTGTGATGGATATATTAGTCTTCCATTCTTCACGTCAAGATGGCTTGAATGATTGTGTGCAAAATAATGGCCATTGTGGTCATTTGTGCCTTGCCATACCAAATGGATTTAGGTGTGGCTGTGCTGCTCATTATACCTTGGATCCCAACAGCAGGAACTGTAGTTGTAAGTCTTTTGTTTGCTACTCTATTCTTCAGTGCTTGTGGCTCCCAGGTGTTCGTTATCCCTTTCAGTACAGCAAGTGAAGGGATATTTCAAGTCCATTTCATCAGGGACTGCAGTGATAGGACAAGGGGCAGTGGGTTTAAACTTAAACAGGGAAGTTCAGGTTAGATATAAGGAAGTTCTTTACTGTGAGTGTGGTGAGGCACTGGAACAGATTGCCCAAAGAAGTGGTAAGTGCTCCGTCCCTGGCAGATTTCAAGGCCAAGTTGGACAGACAGAGCCTTGGGTGACATGGTCTAGTGTGAGGTATTCTTTCCTGTGGCAGAGGGATTGGAAGTAGATGATCCTAAGGTCCTTTCTAACCCAAACTGTTCTGTGATCCTATGATTCTATGATTTCAGAGGTTCTCCTTTAAATATGAGAACATGGTAGGCAGTTTTATATCCATTTTTCTGACATGAATTAGGGCTGAAGATTTGTATTTCAAGTCTTAGAAATAACAGCACTGTCAAGTCTGGTCTTACTTATTTTAATAGAAGTGCTTTCTAGGTGATTCAGCAGAGTGATTGAAGCTTTCCCGGTCCTTACCTAAGTGTGTAGGTGGGAGGAAGAGAAATTCTAAACAAAAAAAAATGTCTTTTTCTCTTCTGTGTTTAATAAAATCATCAAAAATAACATCCAGTAAAACAGCCTCCTAAGTAGTCTGCGCAATGTGCACATGCACTTGAAATCCATAGAAGTTTGTTTTCCCTGTGTGTGATAGATGTTATGAGCCTGCCAGTTCACTAGTTGTCCAGTAAGAAATTAAGCTTCTAGTGAAAATAGCAGATAAATATAAAATGCACCGTAGACTTAAACCAACAAACCTTCGGGCATCCTGGCACAGTAGCATATAAGGAAGTTTTAGCTGGATGAAACAGTGGGTTTACAAAAGACAGGTCCTGCTTGACTAACCCATCTCCTCCTATGACAAGATGACAGTGGACAAGGGAAAGGCTGTGAGTGCTGTAAACCTGGACTTTAGTAAAGCTTTTGACACCATCTCCCGCAGCATCCCCTGGAGAAATTGACTCCTCATGGCTTGGACAGGTGTACTGTTCACTGGGTAAAAAACTTGCTGGCTGGCCAGTCCCAAAGAGTGGTGGTGAATGGAGTTAAATCCAGCTGGCAGATGGTCACAAGTGGTGCTTCTCAGGGCTCAGTACTGGGGCCAGTTCTGTTTGGTATCTATAGCAATGATCTGGCTGAGGGGATCCAGCGCATCCTCAGTTTGCAGACAACACCAAGTTGGGTGGCAGTGTTGATCTGCTGGAGGGTAGGAAGGCTCTGCAGAATGATCTGCACAGGCTGGATCTGTGAGCTGTGGCCAGTGGTATGAGGTTCAACAAGGCTCAGTGCCAGGTCCTGCACTTGGGTCACAACAACCCCTTGCAATGCTCCAGGCTTGGGGAAGAGTGGCTGGAAAGGTGCTCATGGAAAAGGACCTGGCAGTGCTGATTGACGGAGCTGAACATGATCCAGCTTGTGCCCAGGCAGCCAAGGCAGCCAAGGGCATCCTGGCCTGTATCACAAATAGCATGGCCAGCACGGTCAGGGCAGTGATCATCCCCCTGTACTGGGCACTGGTGAGGCTGCACCTCAAGTTCTCAGTTTAGTTCTGGGCCCCTCACTATAAGAAGGACATTGAGCTGTTAGAGCGGGTGCAGAGAAGGAGAACAAAGCTGGTGAAGGGTCTAGAGAACAAGTTTAGGAGTGTCAAGGGGGACCTTATTCCTCTCTACAGCTACCTGAAAGGAAGGTGGAGCAAGGTGGGTTTCAGTGTCATTTCACAAGTAATAAATGATAGAACACAAGAGGAAATGGCCTCAGCTTGTACCGGGAGAGGTTTAGATTGGATATTAGGAACAATTTATTCACTGAAAGCATTGTAAAGCATCAGAACAGGATGCCCAGGGAAGTGGTGGAGTCACCATCTCTGGAGGTATTTAAAAGACATGTAGATGTGGCACTTAGGGACATGGTTTAGTGGTGGAGTTGGCAGTACTGCGTTAGTGGGTGGTCTTTTCTAATCTAAATGATTCTATGATGATACAGGAAAACCTTGACTCTGTATTCCCCATTGTCACTGGTGTTTAAATTCCATATGGGGCACATACTTATAATATGAAAAGGAAATACTTTCTGGGTGAGGATATGCACATTTATCCTCCAGAAGTACACAAAGAAACATTTTCAACTTCATAGCAAAAATCTTCAATTATGAATTACCTTCATTTTCATTGTGAATATAATTGCCTCTCTGGGATTTTGTTTTGGATATTGTCTTCTGTGTGGATGTATTTTTGACCATGTGAGTTGCATTTTCTTATGCATTCTGTTTTGGCTTGTTTTAGCCCCTGCCAGCTTCCTGTTGTTTAGCCAGAAATCTGCAATCAGCCGGATGATACCAGATGATCAGCAAAGTCCAGATATCATACTGCCTATGCATGGTCTAAGGAATGTTAAGGCTATCGATTATGATCCCTTAGATAAATTTATCTACTGGGTGGATGGACGTCAGAATATTATAAAAAGAGCCAAAGATGATGGCACTCAGGCAAGTTTACATGGTGTAGCTTTGTGCAGGTCTTTTGTGTGCATTATGCTTTATGCTTGACTTTCCATCTCCTGCACCAAGGAATCATTGATTTAAACTTTAGTCTTGCTAACACTTTCTTATGTGTATGCTATTTGTGTGTGAAAATTACTGAGGGCTTTTAGGATAACGATTTTAATTTATACACAAAGATGTGTAATAAAATGTAGTACGTCGTATGTATCTGAAACTTTAAGCCTTGAATTGCAATCTTTAATGAAGGCTGAGCACTGAAGTAAGGCAGACTGAGTATACCAAGTTTATATACTGTGCTTTATACTCAGCACAGATAAACTGTATTCTAAAAATTAATATTGTGCATGCCAATTGTGCGATATTGTCATCATTGTAAAGCTCTCTCAAACTGAAAACTCTCAGCTACCCAAGCTGTAGTTAAACGCTGAGAGAATGCAGAGTTGATTGCCGTGACAGATAGGTATAGGCTTATCTACATGCTTAGTTGTTTTAAATCTGTTGGGGACAGTATTCTTTTTGTGCTAGTTATTCATTCACACAACAGTGGGAAGAAGTGTACTCTTCTTGTAGGCAATGTTATGTGTTAACATATAGCTCCCAGGTCAAGGTAACACAGTCTTTTTTGAGTAAGAATGTGAAAGGAAGTGGACAGTGGGCAATTTACATTTTCCTCATTCTGGGGCAGTCATACCTGAGCAATATGACATGATCTCAATGTCATGCATCTTGGGACTCAGAGGTTTAACGGTTTCCTTTAAAGGAAATTTTATTTTTTGGCCATTTCTTTTAGGATTGGAAGGAGGTATGGTGGGATGGGCATCTAGCTGGGTTGTGGATGAATTTTGAAGAAGTTTTGCTCTTGCTTTTTGGGATTATGCTAGGTGCTAATTGTTGTAGTCTAGCTTCTCTTTGGTACTTGCTAGGTGCAAATTGCAAAGGAGATTCATTTGCTCTGTGTTTTCCTTTACCTTGGTCACACAGCTTTGAAGACGTAGAACCCCTGCAAATTCTGGCTTTCCAATTTTCACTAATTATTTTTACTTAATTTTGTTGAATTGTGCTGTTTGCAGACGGTGCATATGAACTTCATACCTGAATAATGTTACCCTTGACTTTAGGAAAAAAAAATCATTTCTTTTTATTTTTAGTCACACTGTCCAGACAAAATAGAGATAAAGCTTTATATAAAAAGAAAAAAGCCTGTATGTCACTATGCAGAACTTAGTGGCTTAAAATCAAGTTGCTGAAATATAACTTTCACAAGTAATGCTATGTTCTGTAATTCATTTGACATAAATTGAGCACAGAATGGTGTCTCCAGCTTTCTTGACCCATATAAACTTTCCCTGATACTGTTTCTATGTTTGGATTGGGAGCACTGCATTAGGAAACTTAAGGAAACCACCACTGCCCCCTCACCATCATCATGTCGCCAGAAGCAGTCACCTTTGAAGGCTACTTTGATGCTGGGAGTCCTGCCAGCAGTATTACTATCCCAAGGGCACTGGGATTGGCTGTACGCTAGTGGAGCCTGTGTAATGTTAAAGAAACAATGGAAAGATTATTTGCCTTTAGGGATGTTTCTATATGCTCTAGTGCTTTTCACAGAAATAGTTTTGAAGTCTAGTATTCAAAATAGAGTTAGAAGTGTAGTAAATAGTATGCTGGAAGAGGTTGAGGGTAATGTTTCCAGGAACTTGGCAATGTCAACTTTTGTAAGGTCTGTCATAAAGACTGTGAGGGTAAAAGCAAGATAATGTTACTAGTATGGGTGTGAAGCAGAGCTGTAGCCATTTGACATGTAAGCAAACAGAACCAAATTTCATTAAAAGATCTTCATTTTTAAGAGAAGCCAGGACTTAAAGAAAATCAGTATCTACAACACTATAAATAATAAAGTAAGGAGACTTTGGCAAAAGGTAGAGATTTGTTCAGTTGACTGTATAACAGTGCAGGTCTGGCCAGATGGCTGCCTTGTTTCTTGCATTGTTCCATTCAAGTTTGTTCCATGCATAAACATTCAGTATTGTTTTCTTCCATCTCTTGCTAATTAATTCTACTTACAGGAGGCCCCACAACTGCTTTCTGGGGAGTTTTGCATAATCTTGTGCATTTTCTCCAGATGTTTTTCCTCTAATCCACAGTTTGAATCAAATCTTTTTTTTTTTGTTACTGTTGTTAAGCTTTATTACATTTCTTGTATTTGCTGTTTCCTTGTTATTGTTGTAGGTAGGTAGGTAAACCATGCTTTCTGTGCAATCAGTGTTCTTCAGTCAATAATCACAATAATTAATGGAAATTGTTCCCCACATGTTGTCTTGCAGCCTTTCACTGTCATGAGTACTCCAAACCAAAGCCAGAACCCAGAGAAACAGCCACACGACCTTAGCATTGATATATACAGTCATACCTTGTACTGGACCTGCGAGGCCACCAATTCAGTCAATGTCCACAGGCTGAACGGCGAGTCAATTGGAATGGTGCTGCGTGGGGATCATGACAGGCCCAGAGCCATTGTAGTAAATGCAGAACGAGGGTGAGATTCCTCTCTGTACCTTGTACAGAGCATTCTTGGGATGTTTGCCAGCTGTGTGTGTGTGAATCTTGTGTTGCATCTGTATATTTTGAAAAGGAGACTTTTTGCGTATTTTACTGTTCAGGATGTCAGTTGACTGCTTGTCCAGTTCTGGCTTTTAAAGGTATCCAGGCTTCTCTTCCTGTTCTCTCCTTGCCTGCCTACTCTGGTATGCTTAGATGTTCACACAACCACTTGGCTGGTTATAGTGAGGAAAAGAAATAACTCAGGTGGGGAAAGCAAAGTAAAACCATCTTATCCTGTTTGCTGTGCACAATCTGGCCACCTAATAGGACAAGCAAGAAAATTTACACTGTTATATCAACTGGGGATCTGGCTTATAAATGCTCGATCATCATAAAACAAATGCTTTCAGGAAAAAAAAAGGGTCTCTCATGATCTAATCTAATAGTATAAAATCAAAGGAACAAACAAACCAACCCCTGTGTTCTCTCCGCTTTTAAGTTAGTTCTGCCTTGATGTGTATCTCAAAAATGTCTGAAATTAATTAAAACAGGTAGGATACACTAAAGTGATTTCTCACAGGTAGAAAATACCTTGTTTTCTGCAAAGCAGTTTTGGCTAGATTCAGCACACCCTCACCTCTGCTCCACGTGGTTAGTAGCTTCATTCTCAGAGGTCAAAGATGGTCCTTTACTGTTCTCTTTGATAAGATAGATGCTTAAATCCCAGTTTACTGCTTACCATGTGCTTAAAAGATGTTGTATGAATGGTTTGTAACTTCGTGGATACAGAGGCACCCAGAGACTGTCGAGGGTTGTATTTTATACAATACTCAGTGTAGTCTGCACAATTCAAAAACTGGTGTGGGGAGTGGAGGAGTAGAGGAAAGATTCTAATCTTATTGGTACTTAAGTCACTTGGACGTCTTTGTTCATATTTATAAAAGTTTTCCATTTGTATTTGTAAAAGCTTATCTGCTTTCTCCATTAAAACAGAAGTTTGAGTTTGTTGACCTCCAAAACTCACATATTTTCTAGTCAGCTTTGTATTCTGGACTACTTCTGCCTTAGTGCCAGGAATACTGCCCTCCACCTCTCCCTTGGCTGCACGTTCCGACTGCTGCCTCTCCTCCTGATGCTGACATGAAAGGCTATGCAACAATGAACACCCCTGTATTAGGGAGCATGCCCATGTTATCCATCACTGAAAAAATCACTAAGTTTTTCCAGAGGGAGTTCTTAGTTTGCCATGTGGGTGCGTAAGCCCTTTTTTCCCTATGCATGGGGCAAGCAGAGACTTTCTGTTTGCAGCTAAATTGGCTTAGGCAGTTGAAAAGAATCGATGGTACTAAGACATCAGGACGTGCCATCCTGAGCTCTTCTTCCTTCTGTGGTCTTTGTTCCTCAAGTTTGGAAGGAACTTGTCCTTGCTGAGAAGGAAAGCAACCCAGAAGGAGAGGGGGTGATGGCTAATGGTTTTGGGTCTTTTTGTCAGAAACAGCTTCTGGGCTTTGATTCACAGATGGGAGCAGCTTTACACAAGGTGGTTGAAGAAAGTCTGTGTAAGTCAGTTAACAGCCCTCACCTCAACAGTGCTGCCAGCACAGCAGTGCTGGGTGCTGAGGCATTTTATGACCTGTGTTAAGGACAAATGCTATTAATTTCAGGCTATCTCAATATGCCAGTTAGCAAATATTTAGGGCTCTGCAGCTGACAGATCTGGATCTTTGTGGCTGGGAGCAACAGTGACCACAGTTGTCCCTCTGTAAGCCTTTCCCACTTACATGCAGAACCTGTGTGCAAAGGTGAGTTGCCTCCTTTCTGAAGGTTCTGATATCTTTGTTCTCAGGTACATGTACTTCACCAACATGCAAGAGCGAGCTCCCAAGATTGAGCGTGCAGCCCTTGATGGCACAGAGAGAGAAGTGCTTTTTACAACTGGGCTAATTCGACCAGTAGCACTGGTGATTGACAACAAACTTGGAAAGCTTTTCTGGGTGGATGCAGATCTGAAGCGTATCGAAAGCTGTGACTTGTCAGGTATGTGATACGCAGTTAAACATTTGGAACAAAGCGTGTGCATGTACAAAAAATGATGGACTGTGTCCTTGCATAGTACAGCATAAAATGCAGGGGAGTTTATTGATATGTTAGATCTAAGTCTCGAATAAATAAGACCTGACAATGGGACTTGGGTAAACTGACATACAAATAAATCAGCAACTAGGCCATCACATGCTGGTAGTTGTATCCTGTGGTTGCAGCTTCCTTTGTACGCATTATTCCTTTTCATGGAATTAAAACTCCATATAACCATATGTTTGCATACTAAATACATATTTTAATACAATTCTTTGGATCTTTTTACAGGGAAAACTAAGCTTTCTCTGGTTATTATTGAACCCAACATTTTAGCGCACAATTATTTGATCAGGCCACACCTAAAGAATCAAACCCTATAGGTAAGATAAATGCAAGGGAAAGCTATAGGTTTAGAAGAAAAACAATATTTATTAACTAGAGAATATGCGCCATGTAGCCAGAAAGCCATGGTTGTATTTGATCCAGCTGAGCTCTCTGTAATGTGATTCACTGAACTGTTGATTTTTTTTAATGAGTTAACAGCATATTTTTATTTTAAGCTATTTTGGGGACTTGCTTCACAGCTTCAGAAGAAATTTGGCAGCCAAAATTTTGTTGGCTTTAATTAGTTCCTCTGAAAAGTATTTTCTGAGAAAAGCACTTTAAAATGGGAATACATGAGCAAAATGATTTTGGTGTAATCTGAGGCTGCTGAATAAATTTGACCAAAATTGTGTATAAGGGGTTTTATGCCAATTAGACTGGTTTGGACAACTTATTCCCTCATAGGCTTAGTGAGAGGACATTGTTATGGAGGATTCTGAAGCTTACACTATATCCTGCTTAACTGCATACTGCTAAATCATGAAGTAACCACAGATGTGCAATGTTTAACTTTCAGAGAGGGTTGAAAGAACCATAAACCTGTCTAACAGTTTTCTTTATGAGTTTCTTGGATTTTTCAGTTAGAGTTATTGATATGTTTTAGACATTCATAAAGCATTCACAAATAACTTGTCTGCTACACCAGGCAGTTAAAAAGTGGTATTCTATATTATTGTTGAAATGATTGGAAAAGATACAAAATTGCTGCAATGAGAACATGCTTTGTTTTCAATTAGATTTTAAATAGAGGAATTGTGTGTCCTTCCAGCTTAATGTTGTTTACATTTAACTATTGATTTCTATCTCGAAAAGAGACACATCTGTTTCATTCTGGGAATCAAAGTATTTAATTACTATGGAAATTCAGCACTTCCTTACCTGCAACATGTTTTATAATCTTTGTTTCTAACGATAATTGTTGAAAATAGCCTTTTTTTTATTTAGATCAAGTTTTTTCATTTTGATCACTCTTCCAAAGAACAATTCCCAAAATAAAAACCTCATAAGCCTGGTTTAGGCCTGGATTTGGTAGGTTGTTCAAAGAAGCTAGGATTCTAGCAGGACTGCTAGATTGCAAGTGTCTCCTGATGCCTCATATATTCACAATTTCAGGCTGCCTTCAGGATATCCTACAGGAAACCAACTTGCCTTTTATTTCTAAATGGATGAGCAATTTAGCACTTAAAAAATTGATGAAGACAGGAGTTTTCTTTATAGTGAGTTGAAATGAAACTTTCCTATTTTTGTTGTATCTTCCATGCAGCTGAAATTTGTACTTTTGAGTCAAAATGTCCCATTTGCTTAGTCTCACAAAAGGACAGTCATCTTTGAAAACCCAATGACACTTAAGGTCATGGGAGTTAAGGTTGCTCAGCAGGTTTCAGGACAAATAAGCAAGTGCCCTGTGCTTTGTTCTTTGAGAACCTCCTTCTGTCAAAAGGTTTCCTAGTATTTCTGCATGTTAAGACCTGCTTAGGGGAAGACAAAGAGCATCTCAGGACCTGCACTGCTGGAGAGTAGTGCTAATGGTCAGGTTCAGTGCCCATTTAGTGACACTAGTGCGGGTACATCTGTTCTTTTACTCTTTACAAGTAAAATCCACTAGTACCTTGGCTACCTCCTGAAAACCGCATTGGTTTGGAAACAAAAGAAATTCAGGGTAAAGAACTAAAACCCCAACTGCAAGTCTGAGAATTTCTGATCTCTCTGTAAATACATCTGATTTGAATGCATGCTGTTTGTCATAACAGGCAGAGTCATTGCAGATGGTAATTTTATGTGCAAAACTAATAGAATCTGTAATTGAAATAAATGTTACATTCTGATGTTTGGCTGAGTACTATGTAATTTATGCAGCAAATCAGTTGAATCCAGTGCTCATAGCATTTTTATTATATATCTCAGATTCTATAATCTCATTTTGTGTAGATATTCAAAACTTTTCTGTTTTAAATCCAAGCAGACATAAGGTCTTTATTCCAAAATGAAATACAAAAGCAAAAGAAGCACCAAGCTATGATTTTGTTTTGATACCTCATTTTTAAAGTCAAATGTACCCAGTATACTTAGGATTACACAGCCTCAAAATGTTTTTTGTGAATTGATAGAACAATTTAGAATCTTTTGTTCACTCTAGAAAAGCGTAACACGAGCAACAATTAAATGCCACTAAGTGTAGGGCAGCACACGGTAGAATACTGCAAGCATTTAAACTTAAAAGCATTCATAAATGCATTTTTACTTAACGTGTGTTTTTCACATTGTCTGAGTGCAGACTTTTGCACCTTTCTGCAGAGCAGAAAGCCTGAGCATTTGACAGTGTTCCTGTTTAAGAGCATACTGAGTTACTTGGAGTTGGGTTTTCTGGTTGGCTACTGAAGAAAAAAGAGAAGGCAAAGAAAGAAGCGTGGCTGTCAGAATACGAGCTTTTCTTTTGTGATCCTATCTCTGTGTTTGTGATGTAGCGTATGACAGGGCTTGTGTACTTGCCTCCTATTTTACATGGTGAATGTGTTTTATCTGGGTAATGGCAGTGAAGTTAACTGGTTGTATTTCACTCATGGTTGTAGATTCCAGCAAAGTGTATTGTTGCTTGGTGTGTGAATGCACTGTAAGAATTGTGACCCAAGAGCTGAGTCTGTCAGTGACACAGGCTTTGGAGACTGTGCGCAGATACACATGACAGGATGTCAACATGATCCTGGCTGGTTGGCTGGCCAGCCAGTTTATGCAAGCATGAGCTCTGTTTCATGTTGTATCTACTTGCCCTCATGACACAGCAACCGGTTGCATTTACTTGAGATGAAGCTGAACAAACAGAGCCTTGGTCTGCATAGACAGATGGGCCTAGATACCTTAGAGCTAACTATATTTGGTTTGGTTTGATGTGGTTGCTGCTTGATTTTTAAGAAATGATTTCAGACTCAACTGGTATAGAGCTAGTCTTTGGTTTTGTTGATCTCAGGTGCTAACCGCGTGACCCTGGAGGACTCCAACATCCTTCAGCCAATGGGACTTACTGTGCTGGGCAATCACTTGTATTGGATTGATCGTCAGCAGCAGATGATTGAGAGAGTGGAGAAAATAAACGGATACAAAAGGACTAGAATTCAAGGCCGAATTGCTCACCTAACTGGTATTCATGCTGTAGAAGAGCTTGATATGGAAGAATTCTGTGAGTTTATTTCAGTATCTGTTGTCTCTCACTCTTGGTCACTGTCTCTTAAAGCCCTCATCTAGCTGAATATTGTAATAAGATTGCCTAGTGGACTTCAAGTAAGCCATGGAGTGCTTTCAACTCAGCCAGCTGGGATCCAAGAAACAGATGAGAAAAAACTTCCTCTTTCTTGTCAAGGAGTGTTTCTGCAGCTAGAAGATGTGATTTCATGGCACTTAGTTACCTGCTTTGTAGAAGCTTACATGATACTGAATTCACAGTAAAAGCTACCTATAATAATGGTTACTAATTTTTAAAGTACAACCAAATAATAACACTTGGAAAAGCCTATGAAAAGAGGATTGTACTTGTCTTTTCTCCAGGGTTTTTGGACCCCTGTGTAAAGCATGACTGTTTTGATTCAGCATAATCAATGATGTAAAATGAGGGAGGGAGAATGTGCAGGAAAGTCCTACAATGAATTATTGTGGAAGTAGAATTTCTCTCCTGTCAGAGGTGGAGCCATTTTAGGTCTCCCCTTCTGAAATGGGTTACACATGCAGGGCCTTCTTTTCCTGGACTGTTGGTCCAAGTTCTGTGGCCTGAAAAAGAGTGTAGAAACCTCTTAAAGTAGTCACTCCTCAAAGTGACAACCTAAACCTCCTCCTGCTTAACAGAAATGTAAAAGAGAATTTACATATTTTGTGATTTGGGCACACAACCGTGTAGCTTCCTTTAAAAAAAATAAAAAAATCAATTGTGTGTTTTTATGTTGCAGTTTTGCAAGTAACAGGGAAATTGAGGGGCTAGATATTATGAGCTCTTTAAGATTAAAGGAGACTTCCTGAAAGATTTGGGGGTTGGCATTCTGCAGTGATGTGTGTTCATTCTTAATGCCTGACTACCCTGGAAATGCAGGTGGGATGTCTAGGTATGCTGTAAATGTGACCTTCCAAAATCTGCCTTCTCATTCCTTTTCCCCTTAGCTCCCAAATTCTTTTTAGGAGTCCTTTAAAGTTGTCCGTATCACTATTAACTGGGAGAAATGTAGTCTTCATGAAGCAGAAAATCAGCTTTTGAGCACTGAATTGAAAAATCCTGCATTTATCTTCCGATTAATTTGTAGTGAAATCTTGGTTAATCAAATAGAACTGGTTTGTGAGTGGTTTGGTGAGTTTGCCCTAGCTAGGACTAGTTATCATTTCTTTTATGCTTTTTGATATTCTTTTCTGTGTGTTTCTCCAGCTGTGCATCCATGCTCCCGTGACAATGGTGGGTGCTCACACATTTGCATTGCCAAAGGGGATGGGACTCCAAGATGTTCATGCCCCGAGCACCTTGTGCTTCTGCAGAATCTCTTAACATGTGGAGGTGAGTTACATTTAATTCTACTGTTGAGCAGTTTACATCAAAAAAGTTGGGAGTTGAGGTTGCATTCCAATCCAAAATGTGGATTGCACAATGATTTTTTTCCTACACATGGTATGTTGCGTCATGTGTTAAATTGACCTTTGATTCTTCTGCCGTTTTCTGCTTCAGTATTTGGACATATGTGACTTATGATTGTGAGCAGAATATTCTTGTTTGACCCAAAAATACTTGCATCTTCTACTGAGATTTTTATAATTGTATGATGTGTCAGGTTTGTGCTTTAAACAAAAGCTTACAAGGTGATGTTGCATCAACCCGTAATGACCTAGCAGCAGTAAATGTACATATGATTCCCACTGTGTCATATTCCACTCTTTCAAATGAATTTGGCTTCATAACATGAAGCACTGTACTGTCTAGTTACAAAATGTAGGCCAAAAGCTTCATTGCAATCCTTTTTAATTAATTTAATTAAGGTAGCTCTCCTCTTTCCACATAGTAGACGTTTTCTGCAGACTGCTCTTTCACAATTCTTGGATTTTTGAGATTTGTTCTTATGCTTGCAGAGGGAATTAAAAACAAACAAACAAACAAAAAACAGTGCTTCTTTTTGGGAGACAGCATATCTTAAATTATTTGGCTCTGTTTGTCCTCTTGACTTCTTTTATGTATTCATTTTGCCGTGGATTTCATTTTCTGGCTGAACTCTGACCTCCCAAGGGACAGTCATTACCATTATAAACTGCTTGCTTTCCCATGACCACAACAGGCTATGTGGTTTTAGAGTAGTGGTGGTTACATCTGTGTGGGGAATCAACCTACTTGTATTTCTTGCTCTACTGTTGTTGCACAACATGGCCAACGTGAGATTCCTACATCCCACTCCTCATCCCACTCCTTTGTTACCTTCAGTGATAAATCAAAAAATCCAGGGGCTTCTATCAGTGTCTGGTTTTTGTATTCTAATCCTTCACTAAGCCTGCAACAACTTTTTAACCTATCGTGTCTGCCATAGTAGCAGCCGAGAGCTAGTATTTCAAAACATTATTTCAAAATAATAAAATATTTCAAAAGATTAATAGCTATTTTAGCTGTTTGTCCATGTTTGTCCATGTACTCTTCTGAATGCTCTTGACAAGTTTTTAAATGCAAGCTGTGCCTGCCAAGTGCAACCGTAATGCAACACTAATGTGGCTGTAGATGCAGAAGTAGTAATCTGTCTGTTGAATTATGTAAACAGCACACTCATTCCAGAATTTAATTAAAGAATTATCTTAATATGCGTATCTGGCATCTTTGTCTTACCTACAGCTGTCAGGCCCCTGGCTGCAATTTTTATATTGCCTCACCAAATAATCATAAATCAGAAACTTTAAAATCATAACATTGTCAAAAATAAAATGCATTTGGATTTTTATTTGCATTCTGTTTTTCAAGCTCTTGATTATACTTGAGTCTCATTTTTGAACATTCCTGCCTAATGAAAAAAGTACAGCAGCACTTTTAAAATGGTTTGCATATAATTGCATAGCTCTAGGATCTATCTACACTACCTTCCGGAAAAAAATACTCATACAAAAGTCTTGTCATTGGTTACAGCTGCAAAGCTTTCCTTAAGCTGGGTTCTTTGTGATGTCCAGCACTGAGCCTGGATGTTTATAAAAGCTCATTCGGTTTTCAGAGAATTGTTGCCATCCAGTGTCAGCGCACACCTCCAGCTTGCTCAGTATTGTTGTCATAGACAGGGTGTGCTGTGGTACCCTGTTAATCCAAGTGGTAAAGCATCTACTTGGAGCATTCACTGGCAACAGCAGCTGTGGGGATCAGTGACTGCCTGTGTTGACTTGTTTAATTACATCACAGGGATCTGACCCAGCAACTTTTGAAATCAGTGGAAATGTGTCTGTTTGCTGCAGCGATGTTTTGAGATGCTTCCCTCATTTTCAACATAAATAACTGCTACTCCAGTAACTGAAGGTTCACATGTTGGCTAATGGCTTATATGTTGATATTAATGGTGGAAAAGTGTGTGCTAATTTGATGTATGTAAGAATTAGCAGCATTTTTTGCAATAGATTCTCGATCTGGTTTGTCTTTGTCTTTTCACATTCAAAAGAAAGCAACAATGAATGTCTTCCTGTAGCGTAACTGTAGCATTTCTACATCAGGTTGTAGCCGCTGCTAAATGCTAACAGCATGTGATTGGGCAACAGTATATTTGTGGAGTGGATTGATGCCAGGATCTTGGGGTCCATGAAAAGTCAAATTTGAAGGAAGTCCAGGCTTTCTTAGGTCCAACAAGCAAAAAAATAAAAGTCCAGAGTTCTGTCCCTGATGATAGTGAAAGAATGTAAGACCAAGGCAGGCCTGTGGTGCTTCCCAGACTACTTTCTGAACCTCCAATGACCTACAGCCTAGGACTTTCCAGCAAGAGGACTTAGCTTAATGTTTAACAGGCCTTTACAGATACTTTTTCTACATTCATATTTTTCAGTTCATACCTAACTCAGCAATTTGTGGATAAACCACTGGAAAAATAGAGAAACAGATATTGTAGAAGCAGATGTTGTATGTTTTAAGTAGATTAATTGTCAGTTAACCCAATGTGCCAAGTTTTCTTATGAAGAATTGTTCCAGGGTAATATATTTGCAGGGATTACAGTTGCGTAGACTGTGGCTTGAGTATTTATTTGAATTTGTGCAGGACAGTGTCTTCCAACGGGTGACTGTAGGAGCCAAAGTAAGTATTTGTAGTTCCTGTCCTTAGTTCAGTGCTCAACTGCTACAAGCAAGATTCTTCAACCAGCATGCATCCAGTTTTTGATATGACGTTGGCAAAATTTCATCCCCTATGCAAAATCATGTTTTCCTCTTTGCTGGAATCTTAATATTGTGATAGAACTTCAGTTCAGGGATGTGTGTTTTTCTTTTAAAGTCTGTCACATCGTTATTTTGTTGTAAGGGCTAAAATTGAATCCAGAAATGTGATTTGTTTTCTCTTTCTTCAGAACCTCCAACTTGTTCCCCAGACCAGTTTACCTGTGCAACTGGAGAGATTGACTGTATCCCAATGGCATGGCGATGTGATGGATTTCCAGAGTGTGATGACCAGAGTGATGAAGATAGTTGCCCAATATGCTCTGCATCCCAGTTCCAGTGTGAGAAAGGACAGTGTATCGACGCACACTTGCGGTGTAATGGAGAAATTGACTGCCAAGATAAATCTGATGAAGCAGATTGTGATAGTAAGATTGATTTTCCTGAACTTGTGGTTTTAACATAAGCATCTGTGTGGGATTCTAAGTGTTCTTCATATGTCTGTATAGGATTTTTAGTTTCAGATGGTGAAAAACAGCCTTAACCATAAGACTAAGTAAGCTATCCACTGTTTTCTTTCCCTCTTTCTTATTCTGTTGCTCAGATTAAACTTCTCTGTAGCTACTTAAATTTCTGACCATGTAACTACAGGTGTGTGGGAGGTTGGGGGGAGAGTATCTTTAATACATACCCTGAACAAAAACAGGATAGAATCTGGCAGAACTTAACACATGCTTTTTTTCCCTGTATAATTATCATTCTGGCTTGCACTGTTTCCTGGGTGTCTACTTCACCTTTGGACAGTGCTCACAGCAAGGTGCCACAGGACACCTTAATCCTGTGGCTGAATTGGCTTTTCTGAGAGTTCACTCTTAGAAACCTGATGTTTATAATCCTGGATATACCTTTCTATGAGAAATCTGTGGAATGACATCCAAGGAACTTTTACTGCTGCAGCTGCTTTGTATGCAGTCAGCCATAGGACCTGGGTCCCAAAGAGAAGCATGAATGGGTGCATTTGCATCATCCTTTAGTAGATGGGAAACCTTGCATATTCTGTATCTAGGATCAAGGCATAGCTGAAACAGACACTTGACTATGAGTGGGTACCATGGCTTCTTATTGCTGTACAGAATTTCAGGAGCCTATTCAGTAGTGTGGCTCTTGGCCTGTTGAAGCCTCAGGACCATCGGCTTTACCCACTCAGTGACTAAGAATTGCCACTGGGCCAGCAGGATAGATTTTTGTGACATTTCAGTGAGTAATTCTGTGGATTTGCATTGTCTTCTCTGTAACTTTGAGCCTGGATACCAGAACACCAGTGTCGCCTTTGCAAAGAAGAGGAGGATCAGTCATGCCTAAGTTCCTGTCTTTCTTATGGGAGGTGGTACTTGCTAACTGTACTGCTTCATCAAGAGGCCCTGCTTTGTCCAGCATGGAGCGCATATGCAACCTAACAGTGCCATCGCACACATGCAGAGTCAAGGTGGAATGTGTATGTGGTCATCTCACTGTGAAATGGTGGGCACTGCTAAACAAACTTTATGCCAATATTTTTGGCATCATATGAACTGTAGGTACCTGCCTTTCCCTGCACTGCCTCTTTGAGGGCACAGATGGGCATTACCATCTGGTATAGAATAGTTGAAGACACATTTCTTCAGTTATTGAATGCTCAGTGGTTGTACACCTAGTTTTCTGCAAGCACTTGAGTCACCCAAGTCTAAACTTTTGTCCAGGATGCTGACACTTCCTTAGAAGAGCTATAAAAATACTCAGTGTCCAGGGTTATACTGAGGGAGATGTGGTGAATGTGGACTCTGTAGTCTTCACAGAGTAAAGGAATCTTTACAGGCCAAAGCCAGAGTGGATTCCTAAGAAAATTAAAATCCGTTAGGCCTTTCTTGTCTGTTAGCATATGTCAGCCTATTGGGGAAGGGAAGGAGGCATTAGTGCATTCTTGTTCTCAATATGAAGTGTATTCAGGTAGTGAGGCTAACTGGGCTTAATAGAACTTTGGTACTCCACCTCATGCATCAGAGGAATTGCCTTGTGCTCAGAGCAGTGATAATCACTGCCTTTCCATAGGTCTGAGTTCAATGCCTTGATTCTCTCAGAAGCCACTTCTCCTATCTCCTAGTTTCCCAAGGCATGTTGGAAAGTTGCATTGGCACAGGGGTTGCATACTGTGATTGGAAGTGGCCAAAGAAATGTCCCTGGGTATGTCCCACATCTTCAAGACTGTGCCCTTCATCTTGTTGAACCTATTATGGTACTGCTAGCTAGTTCTGTCTTATCCTGAGGAAGTCAAAAGGTTAACAGTGTCATGATATTGCAACTGGATTACCATGCCACTGAAGAAACTACATCACCTGAACAACACAGGTTCAGTACACCAAGTTGTCCATTGCTAGATCAAGAAGAAACCACAAGTTCAACAAGGCAGGACAGCAACAGAAAATAGAGCATGTAAGAAGGGAAAGGATATTAAGACAGAAGACTTGAGAGAAGACAAAGGAGAAGCAGACAGTTGCAAGAATAAGTTGAGGGGTGGTAGTCACTGGCAACTAGGAAGGTGCACACAGAACTTGGCCCTTCTCATAGTGCAAAAACCTAAGTGGTGTGGTGGGAGCTCTAGATAATTTTAGAGCCTTCTGTTAACGTGTAAATGTTTTATATGCACTGTAAGACCTTGTGAAGCTGCATCCAGCTTACTGGGGGCATAACAGTCCAAATCAGGAGCTGATGCATATCAAGCTTCTAGCTAAGTTTTCTCCATAAATAATTTAGTTCTCTTACATGAGAACTGCTCTGCAAAATGGACCATGGCAAAGTAAGTATGGCTATTGAGGAGGTCCACGTCAAACCACCACCAGTGCTGTGATCCGAAACATGAATTTGGATCTTCTACTCCAGAAGAAAACAGCATGCCTTATTTTTGCATTAAATAACCTGTACTGTGACCTTCCAGAACTCTTGCTTACTAGCCCTTGTACAACAGTCTGTCTTTTATGTCTTTTTATATGCTCTGACTTGACAGAGATTCCAAAGTTAATTAACAAGTCCTTTTCACTGAATCAGAGGCTCCTACAAATAGATAAGAAATTTATCAGTTAATTAGCAAGGTTATATTATACAGGACTACGTAACATACTACAGACTATATAAGATTATAATATGTCAAGGTATTACATTTTGTTAACCTGTCAGGTGATAAGCTACACTTCTTAGTTATTGTAAGATTATTTATTGCTGAATTTGATCCCAGTTTTGCCCCAACAGGACTGATTTGACAAAGGATGGGGAGTTACTGGGATCAGAATTTTATTTTAGCCCTACTGACTAGGGTGTTTAACAAGAAGAAGAAAGCATCAAGAGAGATGCAGATTTGCATTTTACCCACAGCAGCAAAGCAGATGTTCTGGTGCCTACCTGGTCAAAAATACACTGCGGCATCATGTCTCACTTTTTATTTTCTTAAGTTGCTCAAATGCTGCCATGCAAGTAGTACTTAATCTTGTCTTTCTTTCTGTGCAGCAATTTGTCTACCCAATCAGTTCCGATGTGCAAGCGGCCAGTGCATCCTCCTGAAGCAACAGTGTGACTCCTTTCCAGATTGCATCGATGGTTCTGATGAGCTTATGTGTGGTAAGATGTCATTCCTTGAGATTCAAGTGCTGTGTTCAGGCATAATGTCCTATGCAGAGCCCCAGTCTTTGCACAGTAATATTCTTTCAGGGTAGCCCAGTGAATCTTGGCCACATATTCTCATAGTTGTATAAAATGTAGGTATGTACTATGTATGTGATGAAGTATGTAACGCTATTATTCCAGGAAATGCAATACAGCATTAGTGAAGATGATCTGAAATCCCAGTGTTACTTCAAGCTAGGCACAAAATGCTATATGGGATACAATGCCGCCTTCTTTAGATGAGCCTTCAGATCTATACCCAGGGGATCTGATTCTGCTATGCTCAGTATCTTGGTACTTGCAGAGCTGCTGCTAAGCTTGGGGTGGCTTTTAAAAGTGCACAGCCCAATCCACTGCAATTACAGGGTCAAGCTGCAGGATAATTATGTGGAGAAACTAGCATGCAGTGAGCAAAAGTCCACAAGAGACCACAAGCTTGTCTCTTAAAGTGCAGCTAGATAGGAAAAGAATATAAGGAGAGAGACCTTGATTTTTCTGGGCAAAATGTTACTTTGAACTGTCATTCCCATGCCAGTAGGTTTATGCAAGTTACAGGCATGCTCATGGCTGTTGCTGTATTAGTCCTTAGCAGGATCTGTTATTTTGCAGTCTGAGGTGGATGGTAAAATTCACTTACCTGTGCTTTGCTTGCAGTTCCCCTCTTTTTGCACCATCAGGGTGACTAGTGCATGAAGTTTTCAGGCAATGGGGCAGATAAAGGGAGCATTTAGTAACTCACAAGTTGTTTAGCAAAACAGTTGGAACATAGCATTTTAGACAAGAAGCAAATAGATGTGCTGATCTGTTGGTAATTCATTCTGAACATATACCTTGTGTTGGGTGGTTTTGCTTAATGATGTTGCCTATAGGGCCTTGGCTAATTGCAGGGGTTTTAATATCTTAGAGTCTTGTCAGGTTTTAAAGCACCAGTTGTCAGAAGCTGTGCCACTGCTCTGATGAAAAGAGGGGTCACCAGGTGGTCTGGGTAACCTTGTCTCTTCCTTCCATCCTCATGGGGGGTACTACAAGGAAAAGTGTATTTCATAAAAGTGGTGAGGGGAGCCCACTGAAGTGGTGAATAGAAGAAAAGGCTAAAAGAATAGCCACAAAAACTGCTCTCCCTCATCTTCCATTTATCTCAGCTCTCACCCTGTTCCCTCGCTTCTCTGGATAATGTAAAGCCACTTCTTCCTCTTCTTTTCTTTTTCAGTTTATTTTCTTTGTGCACTTGACAAACTTTCATGCTGCCAAGTTAATGCAGCTGTTTCCTGTTTGCCGTTAGGGTCCAGTCCTGCAATTAGGTCTTAACTGATTTAAATGTGTCTTTATGTAGACATAAGACTGTCTCCTCTGGAGTCTCTTAGTGGAACAGAGCATTCTGTGGTTTCTTGCTTGACTGAGGGAAGGAACTCAAGCAGGGAATAAGAATGATTGCTACTTTCTAGATAAGGATCTTGCATTCAAAAGAAGCTAGATTTAACCAAAATGAGAACTGTGTGTTTTAAATTAATTAGTTTGGGAACATGTTTTAATTTTGGCTTTGTTTTTTTCTGGTGTCATATCTGATCTAATCTATTTGAAAATTAGGGACTTAGCTGGCATAAAAGCTGTCACGCACTAATAAGTGTGAAGACTGTGAAGCAGAAATGAATTCTTGATGCTTCGCTGTTAAAGACTTTATCAGTAGAATTTTGTATTTCCTTTATCTTCCTCTCAAATTTCAGTTGTTTTTCCACTGAAAGGAATGAACCACTGGAGAAAAATTTTATGAAGTGAAGGCTTGAATCTTATGTGAACCATTTCACTTCTTACAGCTTCATTAAGGGGGAAAAGGGTCTATTGTTTGATCTGAATGTGTAAAATTGATAGGCTTTGGCCAAGTTTATTTTGATTTGTCCACTTTATGAATATAAATGTATATTTGCATATGTAAAAAAGAACTATAAATGTTGCATGAATCATGTGGAAAAACTGGTTTTCACTGAAGAATGTCACATATATGAAAAACATAGAGGTGTCAGGTTTATTTAACAATAATTTTGAATGTGTTACCCAAAATGAGGGAAGATAGGAAACATAGCTCATCTCAAATACTGCGGCACTTTTTATGGTTCAACATTGGGCTGTATAGGGAACAAAGAAATGAGAAGTAGGAAGTATTTGAGATATTCTGTACTTTGTTTTCCTTCCAATTTGTAAGGTTTATTTTAGAAAGCAAGTCATATTTTAAGCCCTAATTAGCAAGGAAGACATCCACTGCTTAATACATATGGCAGCATTCCTGTTGGTAAAACCTTTTAATTTTTTAATGATTTTTTTTTAATGTTTTTATTTTCTAGTGTTTTTTAATTTTTTAAAAACTAGCACAAATGGCTTTTGAGAGAGCAGAGTCCTCTCTGAGTAGGGACTTCATGTTTATATGTGTCCTATATCCTTAATCTGTAGACTTTGTGGGGGGAAGAAAAGAAAACTTCCTGGACTGTTCTTATCAAGATGCTAAGTAATCCTGTTCTGAGATGAATTGCTAGACACAAAGGAGAGTACCTTGCTAATACTGCTTGATGTACATGGAGGGGAGGAAGAGGCATGAAGTCCTGTGCATGGTATCAGAATATGTGGAGCTATAGATGCCCAAGTTTGATGCAGATGCTTCCAAAGACATTGTGTGAATGACTGAGCTGACTTATTCGCTGTAACAAGCTCCAGGACAGCAACATATGAATAGCCCCGTGTTTAATGCCCTTCCTTATTTTTTTCTCCTCTCTTTCCAGAAAAACCAAAGCCATCCTCAGACGAGTCGCAGCCACACAGTAGTGCCATTGGTCCTGTCATTGGCATAATATTGTCACTTTTTGTCATGGGAGGAATGTACTTTGTTTGCCAGCGAGTGGTGTGTCAGCGCTATGCTGGGCCCAATAGTCCTTTTCCACATGAGTATGTCAGTGGCACCCCTCACGTCCCTCTTAATTTTATTGCTCCAGGAAGTTCTCAACATGGCACCTTTACTGGTAAGGATGGTAAGGACCTTGCACCTAATTAGTACCAGTACATTGTCTGGATTTGGAGTTATACACACTATTTAGAGTGCAGAAATTAGATGTTGTTGATCTGTTCAGTGGTTTTGGTATGAATCTGTCATTTGGATCAGATATGCAAAAACACATTTCAGTAGGCATCTTGCCATATTTTCAAAATCAGTTTTCATGCTAAACTGCATCTTCACAGGTGTTTGTGTTTTGCCAGAGAAAACATGCTCTTTAAATAGCTAATTCTGGTTTATGTAATAAAGCCGGAGCTTTGCGTAGTACTTCGTACCTAAGGCCCACAAAACATTATGAAGACTAGTGAACCAAGTGCAATATTGGAAACAGAAACACATGTTCCTGTTTCCTAGAATGCCATTTAGCATTCTGGTGAAAGTTCTGTTGAGTTATTCTTTGTGTCTGTCCTGTCCATTAAAGTTCTTCAGACATTTTGGCCTGTTTGCCCAAGATGGATATGTTATTCCACAGTGGAAAGAAGCAGGGGAAAGAAGTGAAGCATCTTACTTTACTGTAATACAAAAAAGCACGGGATAAACTTCCCAAAGTTACAGCAGCAGATGTGGAAGAACACAAGTGGCCTGGGTGTGGCATCGTAGTCTGGATGCTCATTGCCTGAAGTGTAATGAAAATGTGCCTTTTGTTTTAGCCCATCTCTGAGACTGCCTTCCTGTTTGCTTTTGGACAAAGCATTTATTCTCTCTGTGTCTCAGTCCTTCATCTCTAAAACAGCAAAGCTTCTCTACCTCGCAAAGGACTCAAACTGTCCTGTTGGAGAAGTTCATTCAACTATGATGCTGAGACCGAAGGAAGACTTGAAGTATACATAAAAGCTTAGGATATTCAGCTAATAAATAAGAACCCAGAAACCTCAAATAGGTATCAAAGAAAATACTTAAATGGTGTACCTCAGATCATTTTGCAAAGTAAAACATACTTTTCATGGAGGAAATAGCAAAGTCTTAACTATAGAGCCCTGAGAAGAAAGAATTTATCTTCATACTGTTCAGGAAGCTGGAAAGTAAATGTTGATCTGTAAACCTGCCAGACGGGGTCAGAAGAGAGGAAATCCATACTTAAGAGTATTTGGAGTCTGCTTTTCATGTCAGCTGAAATCAGATGCATGATAAAGACAAATGAAAAGATGTGGCACTTCTTCATATTAAACTACTTTGTGAGACGTGCTAATTGTTGTTTTCTTCTAGCCATGTCTTTGAAGATAGCCAGATGTAACTTAGGTTTAGCCTTTCTCACACTTTAGTGGCTGTGGTCAACTATTCCTGCTTAAAGTATGTTTTTATGGTTATTGAAAGGTTTTTGTGGTAGGAAATAAAATCTAAGGATGAAATCATTGCAAGTGAAATCTTTGCAGCAGGGTTCTAATTTGGGCTTCACACTGAAGCTTTTTTAATTAAAGCAGGTATCAGTGGGTTTTGTCTGTACCTCTGGAGGTGTTAACCAAGCTGTCATTCTGATTCTCATTTGTATTTCTTATTTTTTTCTAATCCATATTGCTGTGACAAGTTACAGCAGCTGAAAATTTTACCATTGTTGTTCATTCTAAAGAAAAGACATAGGTTTCTCATACCATGACAGTTCCAAAACAGTTATTCATGAATGCTGATCTTAGATAGAGCCACTCTGCTTGTAATAAATATTTTCTGCATCTGAAATTTTTCTGAAACCTTCCCAAACTAAACTGCTTCATTGGCACTGAGTCGTCTGACAGGAAGAAGCTCAGAATGTGTGGTCTGATTTAAGTGTATATTGCAGCAAAACTGATTGGAGAATGTTGTCTTCCCTCTTCCTGTCACCCAGGATTCCTTCTTTGTGCCACTGCTGGTTTCAGTTTAAGCAGTGATTTTGATTTTTTTTTTTTTTTTTTAATAAAAATAATGATTTTTTTTGCTGTTATTCATGTACTTTCAATTAACTTGCTTTGGATGGAAATGGAAACTTTTGTAGCTTGTTTTTTCTAGCTTGTTTTTCTTGGGCAGTGTATAATGGTTTTTTGCAAACACCTGAATTTAACTGGAAACTTTCTTAGTTAACAATTTGGATGAAAAGTTTGGGTCAGCTGTTCTGGAGATTCCTTTCTCTAGCAGAGTGTTGAGAGCAGGTTGTGAGGTGTTCAGTGCTGCAGTGAAACATTAAGTGGTGTGGGGGCAAGATGTTTTCTTTACAAAATATGTTGTTCCTTGTTTTTACATAGAACACTGTTCCCAAAGTGACAAATCAGTAGCATTGCATGGGTTTGCCAAGCTGTGGATTTGTTTTCTGTTTTGCGCTGGTAGATGGAATTGTGGTTTACCTAACTTTGTTTTCCTCTCTGTCTGACTGCAGGCATCTCTTGTGGAAAGTCCGTGATCAGCTCCATGAGTCTCATGGGAGGAAGCAGCGGTGCCCCCTTATATGACAGAAACCATGTTACTGGAGCCTCTTCAAGTAGCTCATCCAGCACTAAAGCCACTTTCTACCCACAGGTACATCTTGAAAATATACCTTTGAGTTAAGTACCTCCCACTTTTAAAGAAAGAGAAGATGAAAATTTATGCTACTAAATAGAATAATGGTTATTCTAAGGTATTACTGTTTATGATCTACAGGCGCAGTCTGACACCCATTGAACTCCATGATAGGACTTTGTTGTAGTCCATGAGGATTACACAATGCTATACAGTGTCTATAATGTTTTGCTACTGGAGTGGTATTCAGCTGGGTTGTTCCTGGGCACTTCTGTTCTTATGTCTTGACTCCCTTGGAGATGCCACCTCCTTTGCTCTTTGTAAACTCTGATGTCAGTGGCCCAATGACATTTTGCACTGAGTAATGCTGCACTCATGGAATAGAAAGACAAACAAGACACAACAGGACTGGAATGCAAACTCATAAGAAATAAGCTTGGCTTGCTGTTCAAGTAGTGTCGATTGTTGATTGAGAAAACCAAGTGTGTGCATGGGAGAAAACACTTATACTGGCAGGGATTACTTTGCTTGGGTTTTTTCAGCTGTAATTTAGCTCAGTTTCTGGCTTTTAGCTGTTGGAAGTGAATTTCAATCCCCATTTCTCTGAATGAATTCAAAGCCATGAATAGGAGTTATTCTTTAAGAATATGTAGGAGAAACATTACATACTGTTAGCCAGCATTTTGTCATGTAAGTTTTTTCCTTAGTGATTCCAAGCAAAACATGCACTCACTCTTCTGTTCACACAAGCTTGCAGAGTCAATCTGTTAGCTATTGAGGTGATTTTTTTGGGAGCCCACATACTTTGTGGATATCTCTCCCGTTTAAGAAGGGCAAGAATAGAAAAGAGAGGCTTGTGAGCTTATCTATTGATATGGTAAAACTGTTACTTATTTCTTGCATTACCTTCTCAATGAAGTTATCAAGCAGCTAGTCCTGCTAGCAGATGTTTGGAAGTCAGCAGCCCTCCTCATTTAGCTTGTCTCATGCTTCACCAGTATCTGTGTAACATGCTGAACAATTTAATGCTAATACTGGGTTGATATGTCAAAGCCACACTAAAAAGGATGAACAGAAAAACATAGCTGAATTTATATGAAAATACTTAAATGTATCTTGAAAGAGGAAAGAATGGCTTTAAACTGAGAGAAGGGAGATTGAGATGAGATATTAGGAAGACATTCTTCCCTGTGAAGGTGGTGAGGCCCTGGCACAGGTTGCCCAGAGAAGCTGTGGCTGCCCCATCCCTGGCAGTGTTCAAGGCCAGGTTGGACAGGGCTTGGAGCAAGCTGGTCTAATGGAAGGTGTCCCTGCCTGTGGCAGGGGGTTGGAACTGGATGAGCCTTAAGGTCCCTTCCAGCCCAAACCATTCTATGGCTTTATGATTAATAGTGATATGCTCAATTCAACAGCCGGGAATCATTTTGCTAGACACTGCGCAGTGAAGACCAAAACAATGACCTCCACTCCAGCGATTTTACAGTCACTGTAATGAGAGAAGAGCAGAGGCAGAGGAAGGATGCTATCGTGGTCACTGTGGCAGGCCATGGCTTGGCAGAATGCCCAGGGCAGGCTGTGTACAAGATACTCACTTCAATAGCAAGGCCCTACCATCAGTAGCAATGCTGTAATTTTCCACATTGGACAGGAGGAAGTGCAGTCCTTGTTTTTAGGCCAGTATCCTGCTGGTCATGTCAGAGGTTCTGCTTCCTGCTATGGGAAGGATCCTAAAGGATTCTGAAGTGCAACAAACTCTTCTTAGTGTGAGGGTTACCAGCAACTCTGTGTATGCACACACAGGCTAGGGCAGGCTGTAACTATTTTTTAGCTTGTAGGCTCTTTGCATTGTGAACTGTGTCAAAATCATGTGTTTACAGAACCACAGTGAAAAAGTATTCAGGCAAGAATGGAGTTGTATTAGTTATGGTAAAGGAAATTGGCCTCCTGATCCTGCTGCTAACCTGGGTGTTAGTTTAGGGGCTGGGTGTTGGAACAGACTTTGTTTCCTTCAGGATGATATCAGTCCTTAGATCCAACGAAGTACACTGAGATTCATCAAAACTGTCTCATTTCCAGCTTTACCACAGCCTTACAGTGTAATAATGGATGTGGCAAGGAAGAAAATGCCATGTACTGAGAGAACTTTGAAGGCCTGAAGTGTACGCAAGCCCAGAGTAAAGCCTCATAACGAACTTCCATGTCCTTTAAAAGTGCATTAATTCACCCAAGCACCAAGGAGAGGAAAATAAAATGAGTGACAGGGTGAAGGCGTAAATAATATTTTCAAAGGAAGTAGTTGTAGAATTAATCCAAACTTTTGCACTTTTTCCTATTTTTCCTAGATCTTGAACCCACCTCCTTCCCCAGCTACCGATCGCTCCCTGTATAATGCAGAGATGTTTTATTCTTCAAACATTCCTTCAACCACAAGATCTTACAGGTACAGCTCATATAAAAAGTTTTGATAAATCTTCTATTGATCTGTCCTTTAGTTTTGGATCTTAAGCAGACTTTACCTTGTTAAAAAAACCCAACTTTCTTTCTCTTAATAAATGACCATTTAAATGGAGGTTATGCCAGTTTTAAGTTTAAACATTGGCTTTGTGTTCATGTTTTGACATGACAGGATTTAGTGCCTTCCAATGCAGTGTTGCTGAGTAATACTGCAGTATATGTAGGTTATATCGCTGTGTAAGTCCCTTACCATCCTGTATAGAGAAAATTGGTGGTTTCTGTTCAGTTCATCAAGCTCCTCATAAAACTCTTTGATTAGTCACACTATTTGTTAGTGACTGGGCTGGTCTCCTCTGGCTGGTCAGGGGGGCGGAAAAATGTACTGCTGGCAGAGGGTAGTTGTAGTTGCGCCAATCAAATTTCACACAGTTCAGGTACTTCTTGTTGATTTCCTATGAAAACATGAATTAAGGTTCACAACAGTATTCATGAGCAGGCATCCTGACTGAGGACACAGAGCTACTCATTTCCAATCTGTCTTTCTTTTTTCCCTAGATTGCAAGTAATGCATGTGGGTTTTTGTTTTTATTTTCTTTCTGCAGGCCTTATATTATACGAGGGATAGCTCCACCCACAACCCCATGCAGCACAGATGTTTGTGACAGTGACTATACTACTAGTCGATGGAAGGCCAACAAATACTATATCGATTTAAATTCAGACTCAGACCCTTATCCCCCACCACCCACACCTCGCAGTCAATACATGTCAGCAGAAGAAAGCTGCCCTCCGTCTCCTGCCACAGAACGAAGCTATTTTCACCTCTACCCCCCTCCACCTTCTCCTTGTACAGACTCCTCATGACCTCAACAGAAGGAACTCTTCCTGTAAATATTTTAAAATATGAACAGATTTAAAATATATATTTTATGATTTAAAAATAAATTGGGGTGGGAATTTAAAAAAAAAGAAATGTGAATAAAAATGGGTGGGAGGGATGGGGCTGTGAAAAATTGTACAGAGGAAGAATATTTATAAAATTGATTTTTTTAACTTAATTTCCATTCTTTTGTGCCATATTTGCCTTTCTGATGTCATGAAAATTACTCAGTCTCCAAAGGATTTGGGGAGGGAATGTTGAGCCTTTTTGCATTTTTAAGTCACCTTTTTACATGCGAAGTATATATAATTCTTTTTATTAATGTGAGACAAGAAAGCAAAGTGGCCTGTGGAAGAGTCTAAAGAAAGGTGTAAGTTTATTTGCAGAGAAGAAAAAGATGTTTAAATAAAATTGTCAGTATCTCACCCCTTCCCACCACTGGGAGAACACATGCAATGGTCACAACCCTTAGATGCTCCTGTTTGCACATGAGCTGAATGCTTCCCAGCAGAACTCACATGCTGAGACCCAGATTTCAAGCCTCCCTCTCCTTTTGCTTAGGATTGAACTGGAAGAACACTTCTTTTGGCCAAACCTTACAGCTTAACTAGGCTCACAGGCCTAATTAAGCTGTCATGTCATGCCTCATGTCAGTGCCACTGCACATGGCTAGTTCTGGAAATGATTCAAGCTAAAAAGGATAACCAGCCTTAAAAAACTTGGTTTAGCACCAGTCAGTTCCTGACTTGAGTGGGTGAATGGTAGCGGAAGCAGTCATATTGACCTGTGGGTTAGAGGAAGGGGCAAATAAAGTGGTATTTAAGCTATGAGAAATGTCTGCAAAAAGTGCGTATTTGGTCAGACTCACTGTTTGAATTGTGATGAAACCAAATTCCGTCATCCTTCCTTTGGTGACTATCTGGGAAGAGGCTGTAATAGTCAGCTGCTTCTCATAATACAGGGCAAGTTCTCTTTTTTTCCAAAAGTCCATTAATTCAATGTGACAGGTCTCTGAGATGTTCACTTGTATAGACAGACCAGAGACAGACTTCATTTCTAATGCTGATGTTACAAAGAGGAATGGTGTGATTGTTTTCATGCATTTAAATAGGGAAAGTTGTTTGCTTTCTAATTGGTGTTCGTAGAAAATGGCATCTGCATAGCTCAAAGCAAAAACATCTGCTATTCAAACAGTTAGATCTCATAAAAATTAGCCACACAATTAGTTCAGGTTTAGAAATAGAAAAAGCGGGGGGGGGGGGGGGGGGGGGGGGAGGGTAGGAGACAAATACTTATTTCTAATTGATTTGAAATAAAGAAAATAAACTCTAATACAAATTGCTGTAACCTAAGGACATGAACAGCAAAGTGCTCATATTCCCAAATCCTACAAAAAAAAACAAACACTTAGGGAATGGTGGCTAGGATCAGCCCCTTTCAAAATACAGAAGATAAATTTTTGCTTCACTTGTTCTTTTGCTGTAACAAAAGGGATTGAGTATTTTATGGCACTTCATATATTCAGCTCTGATGATGATAATGTGAGTGCCTGCTTGGGACATTTGAGGGAAGTTCAGAATATGTAGATTCTCAGCTGTTTCTGCAGCTGCTGAATAATAGGCGTTGGGCTCTTGACAGCCTTAATATTGTTGGCAACAATGCAAACTGTTTTTCTTGTTTGAACTTAAACTGTACTTGGTTTGGGGTCTTTTTAGCAAGTTACTTGAGAGCACATCAGAGGAAGTGTGCAGCTCCAGGACAGAGGTCTTTGTGGTGGTGGTGGAGGGACTGGGACCACAAGTGTTCTGATCCAGTTCGTGCTTTCAGATTTATTAGTCCATATCTGTTCTTTCTGTCTGCATTATTCCTGAGGGCAGGACTTGTGCTGCAACTGGTGTGTTGCTAAAACTCTTAAAGTAGCTTTTACTACCTTCCTGTCTAAATTTTCATTTGAGACATTGAGCACAAAGAAGATGCTCACCATTTTTTGTGGAGAAAAATACAGACTCAGGGATTACAGCTTTGAACTGTAAGAATGTGTTCTTTCCCCGTCCCCTATCAACATCAGTAATTTTGCAGTATGTCAAGAGGGACAAGGCCACGGTTTGTTACTCTTAGCAGGTCTCTGAACAACTGTTAATGATTTGGTGAAACAAAGCAATTCTCACGTGATCATATTTCAGTCAACTAAATTAGTATAGATCCACAGGATACTTTATGTACTACATTGATCACATAAAGAAGTACTTGTTCTGCATTACAGCAGTTGGTAAACCAGTTTCCTATCATATGTAATTTTCTACATGATATTTACCATTTATCATTAATTCATTACCTTAGTTGTTTCATGTTACATCTCTAGCTTAGAGACGTACCACATTAATTTTCCTGTGTCGCTGTGATGACACTGAATGCAAAACTGCGTTGTTTTGGGTTGGGTTGTTTGGGTTTTTTTTGTTTTTCGTTAAAACACTGATCTTTTTAAAAAGCCACAACTATAACAATCCCAACCACTTCACCTGAAGACTTGTATCAGAAAACTTATATCCAAACTTTGGAGTTGAGTCCAAAAAAATAGCGTTCTTGCTGAGAGCTAAACTGTTGTAAGAGTCAAATTCTTTTGGAGCGTAGATAATCAGAAGGAAGGAAGAATTTACTGAATGAGGCAAATTAGGCATGTACATTTTGATTTCAGTTGAGCATTCATAGCCTCTTGCTGCTGATGTTTGCTGAGAAATTGACTCCTCTGAGGCACTTGGAAGTCTGGTGGTCAGAATTTAAGCCCCACAATTCTCCCTAAGACTGACTTTAAAAGCCTCTTCTAAAAAGAATTTGTATAGAAATCTATCTAATGTTTAAATAATAACTCTTTCATTGCTGTAGATTATATACTTTAAAAGGATGACTGCCCTCCTGGAGCTAGAAAAAGACCAGAAAGAAAACCTGAGTGACAGGAGCTACTTTTCTCCAGAAGTGTCCTCAGAGTGCTCTTGATGGTTTCCATCCTGTGAACTTTCAGGCAAAACTGTAGAAAGTAGGTGCCATTTTCTTCTAGATCAGGATGAAAGAGTTGCAGGGAATTAGTGAATGCATAAAAGTTATGGCTGAATAGGAAATACGTGGGCGAGGGTTGCGTTTTGGTGAGGTTTAGGCATAGTTTTAACAGTTCAAAAGTTGTCCATGAGAAAGCTGACTTCCCCCCTGAGAGCCTGCAAGGGGGTGCATGTGACTGGGCAACCCATGTGTTTGTGAGTATTAGAATCAGTGTTTTCAGCCACTATTTTCCATGCCCAATATGACTGCACATTAGCACTTGAAACTGCTCAGGGTGTAATGCAGAACTGTGTCTGGAGCGCAGCTAGTAACAGGCAAACAATATGGTTGATTCTGTGTTAGATTTAAAGCAGAGATGTCCTAGCAGAGAACACCTTACCTGCCTTCCAGTGCAGTTGTGACAGCTGCTACTGGCGTTGTCTTCTCTTTTGCGGGATTTATCCTGTCCGCAGGCCAGATGTAGCAGCAGCGTGAAGCTGTAAGGTAAATGGACAAGTCATGATCTTCAACAGTGAAGTATACTTTACTTGCAAGCAAAAGTTTTGTGTAAATTATAGCTTGACTTTACTTCAGCTAGACTGGTCAGCAGCCCCCACACCCTGACATTTGCAATGGAGGTAATTAATTTGTTCATTACTGGTGGATGATTTTGAGGAAACTTCATTAGCACTTTCCCAGCTGTCTTACTGGTTAAGTTTTCTTATGTCTGGACAGATCACTAAAGAGCACTTAGGCTAAGATAATGCTAAATCTGTATCTATGACCAATAATGTTTTCTTTAGGATAATGTTATAATACAAAGTGTTCCAAGTCTAAAAATGAGACTGTGCCATAATCATATTCTAAAGAGGAAAGTTGAAATAAGTTTCTTCTTTTGGAATAGTGAGTTTCATTTTCAATAATAAACATTGATCTCTCTGGTTTGCAAAAAGTGAAAGCACTGCCCTAAAAGCTCTGATTGTTTTCAGCATAACAACCAAATCGTCTCTTCTCTCACCACATGTTCTACGCACCTAGGATGGGCCTTCTGGAAATACCAAGGCCAGTTTTTCCTGGACCTGTTTTCTGTCTGATGTCTAGAAGATCACATACTAGGACCCACTGAGTTATCTCCATTTTTATGCCAACTGATGCCTCTTCGATTCTGGGGCTTTTGAAGTTCTCAAGCTCTGTGTACAGCAGTGAAAAAGGATTTGGAAGCAGGAGCACCCAGTAAGGTCTGTTCACACTGGGTTGGTGTGGCAGTCACAGGAATCTTCCTTCGTTGCCTGAGAGGTCAGATCCCTTTCCTAGGGGGAGCTCTTGTGGTACCCTTCATCAGAGCCTCTGTAGCACGCTGTATTACTTTACAATTGTGGTCAGTCAAACCACAGAAGTTTTGTGTCCTGTTTGCTTCTAGCACTTTCAGAAGCTGATCTTCTCTGATGTCAGTCATTTTGGTGGAGTGTGTGTTGAGTCCATCCAAGTGAGTTAGCTGTGCTTATAATTGTACTACAAGTAATAGCCATTAATGTCAGGAAATGAAAACAAGGCAAGCATGTTCCCAATAACTAGTAACACAAAAGAGTGTCTGGCCTGGAGCCCTGAATTGGAAATAATGCATTTGCTGTTACAGTGCTGAAGGACATTATATAAATGTCCATGTGTGGAGAGAGCCTTAGACAAGCCACAGTCAGTGGTAGTTTTTCACAGATCAGTTATTCAGTTGTTTCTATGTTTTATTATGACTCCGTTATGAATTATGAGTGGAGTCCTTGCCATAATTTTGGCTTGTCTGTAGAAGATTCAGGGAAGGCTGAATCCTAAATGCTGAGCAGTGTCTGGTTCTGCAGCTGTTCCCCTAGGAATTGCGGTATTTTCTGCTCAGTATTAAAGGCAAAAATCCCTTTCTTCAGCTACTCTAAGTTCAGCTAAACAGCTTAAAGTATTTACCACATGTTAAAAGAAATATTAATATACATAGGTATTTTCCATCCTGTCAGGTCTTCTAGCTCTCCTTCCTGAGAACACTTACTCTAGTTTCTGTAAAGAGTATTTTTGTTTTATTTATATATTTTGAGGCTGGCCAACTAAGCTGCGGGCCTTTTGACATAAGATCGTACTTCTGTGGAGGGAAAAACAAAGGAAAAATTGAGTTGAAATCATAGAAACATAGACTGGTTTGGGTTGGAAAGGACCTCAAGATCATGTAGTTCCAGCCCCCCTGCCACAGGAAGGGACACCTTCCACTAGGCCATGTCACCCACGGCCCTGTCCAACCTGGCTTTGATCAATGTTAAGCCTGCTGATAGGAATGATGGAAACCAGTCTGATACAAATGGCTTCTGCATTCCACAACAAAATCCTTCAGCGTCATGTCCTGACATGCCAATAGTGCTCCAGCCACATGTGACAGCATGCTGCCGCATCCTGGCTGTTCCCAGCATGAACCTTCAGCCCACCTCTGCAGTCTGGGCCTGGGTTCTCTCCAGCCAACACAGAATCCTGGTGGATGGAAGACCCCAGTGGCAATTCCTAAATAGGTCCACAAAATATGTGCAGAGAATGTGCCTAGAAGGACTTACCAGGGGAGAAAAGCAAGTTTGACAGCTAATGACTAATTCACCAGCATTCACATCTTTGGAAAGCAAATAATCCCCAATTATGCACCTTTCTCCAAATAATAACGATGCTGCTCCTGTGACAGTATTCCCAAGGTAGCTGTGTTTGACGAAGGGAGTGATATTCCAGTTTTATTCATACAAAGATCCTGCAGTGCCTAAATAAGTATGAAAGTGTTTTGGTTGTAACTACAAGCACAGTATCTGTAAAGAGAATTCATCAACCTACAGAGATAAAACATAAGCTGTAAATGGGAGGATTGTTGTGCTGGTGTATGTGAAATTTGGACCGCAAATCTCAGAAACAAAACTCTAACCCAGACTGCTTTCTTACATACCTAATTATATCACAATTGCTGCTATTGTAAATGTACATGAATATACAAAGAGTACCAAGAATTTTTATAATAAAATCCTCACACAATCTTTTTTATATTAAAATGTGTATGCTGCAAATAGCCTAACAATTACAGCTTTGCATGTGTATCATTTTGTAGCATTTGTTACTACAAAAGACAACCAAACCCAGTACCTCAGTGCCTTGCATGTTTTAAACAGTTCACTATATTAACTGGGAAAAAAAAAAGCCTTAAATCACAAGTGCCCCCAGATCAGATGTATTCCACTGGTTTTCACAAAACTTTGTATCATCTTTAGGGTTCTCTTCAGTTAAAATACATTAAAAGTTTTGGAACTAACTGAAAACTGACAACTGAAATTTTTAGAGCACTCATGTCTTGAATTTGTGATACATTGGAATTTCTCTCAAATGTAGCATTTCAAGTGAACTTTGGTTTGTGCACTCATATCTGTTCCAACAGCAGTCTCGATACCTGTGAAAAATACATAACATTAAAAAAAATCCAGTCACTGACACTAATGTGTTTGGGGATTAAACTGATGCTATTTTCAGCTTTTCACTACAGTACTTTTCATTAGAACCATAAAATCTGTCTTGTATTACAGAAAGTCTTTACCAAGTATTTTTTCAAGCCTGACTTTCTAGCATACAAATGAACTTGGTAATACTGTCTTAAGAAAAACTTTGAGGCTTTGATCACTTCAGACCATTACAGGTTAACAATTTTCTGGTCATGAAACTGCAGTATTTCTTTATATTAACAAAACCAAAGTCTTGTTTGAAGTAGCTGATATTTTGTATAAATATCTGTACAGATAACAGACTCTGCATTTGTACTACAGATTTTGTAGATTTTGTTTTATAATAAATACTTCTAAAAGATTCGGTTAGCAGCCCTTTTTATGAGCGAAACTGTTTCATCACCTACAGTAGAAACAATCAGCCAGTATCACAATTCGTTTAGATGCTACCTAAGGGCAGTGTTGTTGTGTCCTTGGTTTTTATTTTAAAATATACAATAACAGCAAGAACAAGTAGGTTAAAAGGTTGGGTGGAAAGCTTAGCGCCCTTAGAATGACAATTGTTAGCTAGCTATAGAACTTCCCACAAGTTTGTCAGCATCATGACCTTAGCAAAAATGTTACGCTACAAAGGAATAATCTCTGTGTTTTGATTAGACCTGGTCAGCTCTGTATTTCTTTTTTTTAGTTGTATGGTGTCTTTTAAATTGATGCTGTAGGATGTCAAAGTAAATTAACGACTTTTTGTTATGTGTTTATGGTGAACATACTTCAAAACTAGTTCCAGTGAGTCTAGCTTGGTCTTGATTTCTCTAGTCAATATTGGTGGTCTCAGATTTGTGAAATTTACCATCTTAACCTAAAAGTTATTCTTCCTGAATGGAAGAATGCCAATATGGCTATATTGAAGCTATCTGTGTAATTAGACTCTCAAAAACAAGGTAGTTAAGCTCATAAGAGATGTCCACGTCTGTCAGTAGGAGCCTCAGTTGAAAGTGGAAATTTTCCCAGTAAATTCTGTAAATCTTTAAACATCCCAAGGTATGGGATGTTTGAAATACATCACCCTTTAAAGTCTCAGCTGCAGTGGGACACATGCATTCACAGGTCAATGCACACAGGTGCTCTCCTGACTGGCTGGGACACCTGGTGGCATCTGTTGATGTGGGATTTTTTCTTCCTCAAGTTAGCTAATCAGCATGAAGAATTTCCTCCTCTTCTTAGGGAAGTGTCGCAGTGATTTTTTGCTTGTTTGTTTTCATTTCAGCTTTTCCCTTTTGCTGCTTTCACTATCTGTAACCAGTTGACCAGGACAGCCAAGCCCTCTGCTCACTGCCTGGCTGCTTAGTTACCTAAACAGCAACAAAAGGAGTTAATGGCAGTTCAACTCCTGCCCGTCTTATGTGTGCCAGCACTATTTAGGACACGCCAGTGGCATGTTTTAAAGAGAAGAGACTGGTCTTTGAGCATTCAGTATCATTTGGGTCACACTGCAAGGCGAAAGACTTTGTGGCTTTTCTTCTGTTTGTGATTGATGTGGCTCTGTGACCTTACTTCACAGGCAGGATCACCTTCTGTGTTTCTGCCGGCCTTGCCTCCCTTCATCTGACATACAGACAGGGCAGACTGCCTCCGTCCATGCACACAGCCTGGTCCTAGGGACCCTCCACTTCAAGCTCAACGCCACTGAAACAGATGCTGGCCTTTTTCTTTATAGAGCTCTCCCATGTGCCCTCCTAGGATGCAGCAGGATCCAGCTGGTGCAGGCATGTTGGACATCAAGGAGGCACCTGCTTGAGCAAAAGCAGCATGGAGATGGTGATGGTTCGTGATGGTTCCTCTGCCATCAATGGGATAGAGTTTCAGGTGACATATTAAAAAACAACTGCAGGGACAAAGATTATCTGACCCTGAAGATTTCAGGTTAAGAAGTACCAAGAATAAACTGCCTTGCCTCCAGCGTGGCAGGCAACCTTGTACCAAGTGTTTGATCCCCTTTAAGCTAGTAGGTTGAGTTGGGCATATGCGCAGACTAATATGGGATGGGAGGAACAGCAACTATAGTTATTAGAGCTGGCTCTTGACTCCTACTGCCTTTCTCACAGTACTACTTTCTTGCAGTTTCGCTAGATCTGTCATTCACAGGGAGACATCCATATCAAAAAAATACAAAAAATACTTAGAGCTTAACACTAACTGGAACCACGAGGTGGCACAGTCATCTGGTGTGGAGAGTTGCTTACCAAACTTCATTTGCCAAGGGAAGCAAGCTCCAGAGCTGCCCTTTTCCTGTCCCCTCCCCTTGCACTACATTTTAAACACTGATGGTGGCGGTAGCTTTTCTCAGAATGAGATTTTTATTACAGAATAAAGCCCTGCCATTACATGCCAATGGACATTTTCTTGCTATAGGTGATTCTCCTCAGCCCTAGAAAATCTGTAACAGTAAACCCCCTTTTTTTGGTGGTGGAAGCAGAACCTCTGCCAGGCAGCTTTATCTGTGTAGCTATAGCAGCAACTTGTTTGGTGCCTGACTTCAGCTTTAATATAATGAGATCAATGCAGATTTTTAAAACCAAGTTAATCATCTATCTCCTTTATTTTCTTCTTTGGATGGAAACACGGAAGGTATGGAAATCCAGATAAAAAATTGTGAAAAAGCCAATGCCCAGAAGGACCAAAGGATCTTTTGGAAAAAAAGAGGCTGTTCTTATATCCCTTGTTTGCAGGGACACCTGTGTGGGGCCGGGGCACAGGGGGGTTTAGTGTTACGAGGAAGAAGCAATGCAGTAAAGGGAATCATCAGCACGTCTGTCTTTCCCTCTGCTCTTCTCAGCAGCCATAGGGTAAGTGCAGACTTCTCTTTGCAGGCCTGGTGCTGTTTGACAGCAGGAGGAAATAATTTCTCTCATGTACACTGCTTATTTTTGCTTGTCTCTAACAGGAAATACATCAGTGTCTGACCCACCCACAGACACCTTGGTCCTTTGGTCTGGAGCAGCCCGTTTTCCTGGTCACTTCTAACAGGAAGAAAGCCAGCAGTGATGTGTCTCTTGACTAGTGCTTGGTGCTTAAACAGTTCTGACAACTGATCCCTTGGTGTTATACTGTATATATATCTATATACACACACACTTGCTTCCGTGTCCCTCACTTCTGTACTATCCCTTTTTTGAGGTTATATATACAGCATCTCTACATATATTACATCTCTCTAGATTTATAGTTTTAAATTCTACATATGCTTAGATGGGAGTGCTTGGGAATCCTGGGGTATTAACTAACTAATCTTGACTCTGTCCACTGAAATCTACTCCTGCATATTCCCTGAGCCAGACCAGATTTCCAGGAAGAAAAGGTACATCTATTTCCCTGTCCATCACTTCTATACTGTCCTTTTTTTGAGCTTTGATCCATGCCACAGGCTTAAATGGCTTTTCTGAGCTTCCTCTCCTTAGTGAAGGCTTCATGCATGGGGCAGATCAGGCCTGAGGGACACGAGTACAATTCTGTGGGGTTTCAAGGCTGCTGCAGGAGCTGGCAGCAGATGGAGTGGCCAGGCTCAGGGCTGGGTGCTTGCAAATAGTCTGTCCAAGCAAAGCCTGCTCTATACTGTGCTTATCATGCAGTTGCATAAGCCCACAGTTCATTTCAACAAGAATGAGTTCAAATTTCTGGAACTGATTTGCTTCTCCTGTCCAAAGGGCAGGATTTGCTTTGAGTGGCCTTTCTTTTTCTAATTAATGAAATAATGGTAGACTTCCTCCTCCTTGCATGGGATATCAGAAGCTTGAAATGTCTGTGAACTCATACCCTATCCATGAGGCATTACTTACATGAGAACACAAAAGTAATTAGAGCCCAGTATCTACTCCTGGTCCCTCTTCTTATTTCCTTCTGTACATTGTGTGGGCTTTCTCCATCAAACCTCACCAAAGGACTAGAAAGCAACAGCAGTACATCAGCATGGGCAAATTCCAATGGCAGAATGAGTATACTATCATGCTACCCCCTGAGTACCTTTGTCTGGGCTGCTGCAAGGGGAAACACTACCTTTCCCCTTAGGTTGGACTATTGCTAGCAAGAAGAGGGAGGACTGCCCAGCCAGAATTGACCTTTACCATGGCAGATTGAAGTTATGATGAAAAGTGAGTGAAAGGGCATCTGTACTGCATTATTTCCCTCCCAGTCCCTAAGCATCTTCCCTTGCCTCGCAAATCTGACAGAGCACTTACATTTTTAAGCCAAACATGCCACCTACTGTTTGTTAGAAGGGAGACATTGCATAGTCAATGAAGTCAGCGCATAAATTAACCAAACTAGAAGCATACATTGTATAGTCAATAAAGCCAGTGCATAAACTAGTGAAACTAGAGGCATATTTGCATTGCAAAACTAGCCAAAGGCCCAGGGTAGCACAAATACCACACCTGCTCTCCACCGCCATGCAAGAATCACACTGCAACACTATGCTCTCGATCTGCAAATGTGGAGCAGCAAGGGCAGAGCCTGGCCAGCTTTACGGACCACCACCGTACCATCCAGAACACCAAGGCACACAACTGGCACTGCCTGAGAAATCTGCAAAGCAAGCAAACACCACTGCTGCCTCCAGCTGAGGGTTTCCAACACAGGGCAGGGAAGGGGCTAGGAGGGACAAGACAAACTGGTCTTGAAGCAGATTGCAAGGCAGCATCAAGGGCTGCTTCGGAAGAGTGGTGATGGCACAGGAGGCCTCTGGGAGGAAGCACTGCCTCTGTAAAAGGGAGAATTCTGCATGGAGAGCCTTCATAACAGGCTTTAATTTTTGATCATCCCTGAAATGGTCAGCCAGTTCGATTAAATGATCACTGTAGTCCCATCCAAGTGAACTGTTCTATTCTATTCATGAGAAGAAGGATGAATTTTTACTTCATGGGTGCTGCTGACCAGACCACTGCTGAGAAAACACTGCATCCCTATTCAGCTTGGGGACAGGGTGCCTAAGAAGTCTGTGGGGAACCCAAAGTCTCCCTCAGTGTGGGGCTCAGAAACATCTGCTCAGGCAGCCACTCTCGCAGGGTCCCTGCCCCCAGCCCTAAAACAGTCTGCAGGACAGGCCCAGCTCCCTGGAAGGGCTGAGAGATGGCAGATGCTCTGCAGAGAGGAAGGGAGGAAGGAAAGAAGGGGTTAAAGGACAGAGGGAGTGATGGGCTACATTTAGCAGATGTCCAGGGCTGAAAGTAGGTCACCTATTATTGCTGGGAAAGGGATTGGGGGTGGGAAGCAATTTGAAAACCAACACATCAGTGTACAAACAAAGCCAAGAAATATGCCAGGGAATGCAACTAATTCTTGGAAACCTGACAGAAATCCTTGAAGTAC